ACATGATTTCAACATATTTAGAACATGTTTGAAGCATCTTCTAAACATCTGGAAACTATCTGGCAGCACGCCCCCTCGCCTTTCACCGGCTTCCACGCGGGTCGGAGGTCGATCCGCCCCCGAAAGTGCGGCAAGCCACGCGGCGCCGAGGATGCGGCCGCCCACGGGGCGGCCCGCGCGAGGCGCCCGCGGGAGGGCAGCGCGGCGACTCCTCGACGGCATCCTCGGGTGCCACGCGGCGCCCCGCGGGGCGCCCACGGGCGGGGCGCGGGCGGCGCCGCGGCGGAGCCCCGACGGACCCGTCCGGCGCGCGGGCCGGCGCCCGCAGGGCGCGTCACTGGGCGGCGGCGGCGCGCATGCGCGGCGGGGGCCGCTCGGCACACGGCGGGCGCCCGCGGGGCGGCCGCGGGCGCCCCTCCGCCTCCTCCCCCTCCTCCTCCTCCCCCTCCTCCCCCTCCTCCTCCTCCTCCTCCTCCTTGGCGCAACCTGGGGGCGGGCAGAGTCTGTCCACCACCAGCAGTGAAAGCAGGGCCGAAGGCGCACCTTACAACCGCCTTCGGCCCCACTGGCGGACACGGCTCCCTCGACCAGGCGAAGGCCCACGGGCGTAGAAAACCTAGACACCCGCCGTGGCCGCCAGGACAGGGAGCCTGATCAAGGTCTGAACTCGATAGACTTTGCCACTGAGTCTGAATTCGCCTTTCGCAAGCCTCTTCAACGTCTTGCGAGCGTGGTCCGTGGCCTCGGATGGGCACGGGCTCGCCAAACCAGAAAGCCTCGCCACTGCAAAGCACGCGCAACGCGTGCAGCCGACCACGAGCGGTCCACCTGAACGCTGGAACTTAGCAAGGGCATGCACCTTACCCGAGCAGCTCACCTGCGCGGCAAGAACACGACTGACCAGATCGGTGGCCACGGGATCCTTGACGAGAACCAAGCGGGGCACTGGGGGCAGATCACGAGCATGCTTCTTGGGGTGCCCACAGTCCTCGAGCCCCTCTGAAAGACGCGCGATCCAGGAGCCCCAGACATGCAGGACTTTGCATCGGGCCTGAAGCTGTGCGACTGCAGCCTCTGAGACCCTGGCAAAAGAAGCAGCGCTCTTGGCAGCCTCGTCTGCCTTGGCACTGCCGTATCGGTGACGCGCGGAGGAGCCTCGCCCTGCCTGCGCATCGACCAGGGTCGCATGACCCTTGAGTTTGCTGATCTCAATCCCCCCGCCCCAGTCATCCACCAGCCTCTCAAACTCCTTCCAGAGATGAGCGTGCGCAGAAACACAAGCACGGGTAGCTTCTGGGCCACGCACATGGAAACCGCCAGCCACAAAGGCAGAATCCGTGTAAATACGCACAGGCGGAGTCGCGAAACGTAGAACATTGATGACGGCAGCGAGCTCGGCAGCATTGATGCACTGCAGTGGGTCCAAGAGCGGTCCTGAACAAAACGAAACGACTTCCTGACGGTCCTGATGCAACGCAACGCACCCCCAGCCCGCACTGGCCAGACTGGGATACTGAGCCTCGAAAACAGAACCGTCTGTATACATATCTCCTGTGAACTCCGAGGGCCCTCCAAGCCCCCAACAAATCGGAGACCCAGGAGGACGGCGGCTCAGAGAAGGGAATGGCACAAGACAGCGCTCGGCGAAAAGCGACGCCAGCACTGAAGTAGTAGCCGCAGCCTCTGCTGCAGCTAAAAAGCTGGGCTTGCCCTCGAGGCTGTCTAAGCGAGAACAAGAGCAGTGCCGATGCAGCAGGGTCCCCTCCTGCGTGGGACAGAGCAGACATGAGGGAGTCGTGCCATAACCCGCGGCCCACTGCCTCTGCTGTGGCCACTGCCCACCGATGATCGCACTGCGGAGGTGGCCCTGCTGCTGGGCCGACAACTTACTCTTGCTGCCAAGGAGGGCCTTCAGGGGTCCCAAGATCAGCCCGTTGGCGAAGTCCTCAACCTCGAGATGTTCCGCGACCTTACGATGCTGCCACGCCTCCACAGCACGCAACACGAACTCCTGAACAGTGACGGGGCAGTAGCACATCGGGTTGACGTCGGTCCCATCAGGCCAGATCCAGGACGAGGACGAAGTAGCAACAATACCCACACGCCTGAGCGAGGCCCACAGGGCGCATAAGGGGCCCCTAATGGAGGACCAAGGGTGCTCCAGCCCAGAAAGGTGCCTGCGGGCCTCACGGAGCCCGAAATCCAAAGCCTCCTGGGGCAACCAACGATGCCAGAGCGCATGGAGGTAGAACTTCACGTGCAACCAAGTGGATTTAAAGATGGGGTCCAATCGGGGCACTGGGGAGACAAGAAGGCTCAAAGTCCGAGACTTGCCATCCTGACGGTGGTCCTGCAGCTTACCAGCCGCACCTCGAAGAACCTCCAACTCCTGCCCATTGGTACCCATGACGGACGCTCCGAAAAGGACCGAAGACTCCAGAGCAGCTCGAGCCATACGCCCAAGCACGCGGCGACGAGGCTTGGTGCCCTTGAGGAAACCCATTCGGACCAACCTAGGCCTCATGCAAGCAACGCGCCCACGGACCGTGCCACGACTAGCCACCTTACCCGAGCCGTAGTCCACGCCGAGATTACGCTCAGACCTGACGGGCAGGGGCTGGAGGCTCTTCAACTTGGCTGCAATGGAAGCGCGAACCGTAGGGAAATTGCTCAAGACGCGAGACTTGTCGAGAGCGAACTCTAAGTCGACCTGGCGCAGCTGCTGCAACAGGTGCTGGCCTGCGGCGGTGATGTCACCGACCACGCGGGACTCGGTGCCCCAGCGCAAAAGGCCAAACTCGTCAACGTTGACGGACAGCTGCGCAGCAGGGCAGGCGGCCTGCACGGCGTCCAAAGGGCCTAAGAGAATCAACTGCAGCATACAAGTGGCAAAAGTACATCCAGGTACAATCGTTTGCTCAACACAAAGCAAAGACCCCACAGCACCCCCAACATCGAGAATGCGCGGAGCGCCATAGATTTGGACCAAGAGATACAATTGCCACAAAGGAAAGCTAGTGGCCGCCGCAGCGGCCAGCAAATGATGATGCTGAACCAACTCGAACGCCTTCTTTATATCGAGCAACATAGCGGCACACGCACGATCCTTGTAGGTAGAATGCTCAGACCAGGCCGCCTGGATCCAAACGCACTTTTCAGAAGCCTTCCCATGGGCGCTCCAAAAGAAGGCCCTGAAGTTGGCGGCCTGCCAATTCCTGATGAGAGGACGTCTCAGGCGACACTGGACCCTAGCCAAGACGTGCAAAAGCCCCAACGGCCTGACACCACCCGTCCTCTGTCCCCTTAAGAATGAACACGATACGATTCCACATGGTGGGCCACTCACGCTAATGCTCAACGTGGTGCACAATATCACACAGAGCCTCGAGAGCAGCAGGCGGCAGCAGCAGAAGTGAGCGATGGGGAGATCTGATCAAACCCCGTGCCCGTCGAGGGCTTGAAAGACTTGAGAGCTCGCGCGAGCTCGGCCACCGTGGGCCGCGGAGGGGGGTCCCCGAGCTCAGGCCAATTGAGAGGCTGGTGCTCGACCCTGACTTGCCACCAACGCTTCCACTCGTCTTCGAGAGCTTCGATCGACTCGAGCGAAGTGCAGGGTCGAAGAGTGCCGTGACAGAGGGGGGCAGGCTGAAAGGGAGTGGGGAGGGCCGAAAACTTAAACAAAGCGGACATGCCCCAGACGAATGCTTGTCAACCCAATTCCCCCATTCATGTTCCTTGGCCTGAACGCAGGCCTGCTGAACGCGAGGTCGGCGAGGCACCGCGCCGACTCCACCGGGAGGAATAAAACCTGCCTCAGCATCGCCGTCCAAGCGGCGATCTCGGCCGTCTCTGGTAGACGGTGAAAGCGAGAGAGACGCCCAGCAGCTGCGACGAGCTGCGACCTATGGGCGCCAGCAGGCGACCTACTGAGGTCAGCCAGCACATTCTGAACCTTGCGCCGCCAACAGGCGAGAGGGGGCAACTTAGGGAACCGAGGAGGGTTGGGGGCAGACGGGGTTTTCCACTTAACCTGGAGCGGCTTGTCCCTCCCCACATGCTCGTCACACTGGTCCCCAGAAATCTGAAACAGATAAAGCCACTGACCTTCAAACGCCCTGAGAAACGCGCCCCATGTATCCTGGATCTAGAGATCAGGATCCGAGCAGAGCTCCCCGACGTTGTCCCAGGGGTCAACCTCGGGAAGGGGCCCAAGACACCCAATGGGCAACTCAGTGGGGAACCTCTTAGGAACTGCACGAACCGAACACAACACAGGGGCTCGACCGACGGGGGGACGAGCCGAACAGGGAGGTGGGGAGAGATGGGGACGTTCTGAACGACTTCGGCCCTGGCCTGGCCTGCAATCTGGCGCGAAACCACGAAGTAGTCGATGCAGCGCATGGCGGGCCTGCACGTGCCCTCCGTGGGCGCAACGATGACTGCGTCGAGAGCGTCAACCAACGACGTCTTGACCAGATCACTTGGAGTACAACTCCAATCGCCACCGACAATGAAGGGCATGCCAGCAGCCTTGAGCCTAGCTCCCACACGCGAGAGAATCGCCCAGTTCTGCTCGTCAATGCCCACAGAGTGCACCAGGTACAAGTTAACGATGAGGAAGCCGCCACGCAACATGCCACCCACATGCAACGCCGCTGCACGAGCGGCCACAATCTGACTGTCGAAATTCTCGAGCGGCGCTATCCCCACACGAGCAACTGAAGCCGTGACCAGCCCGCCAGACGGATTGCCAGCTGTGGGAAGCGCAGCCGTAGCGGAAGCCGACCACCCCGCAGCACGCATCTTGGACCCAAGAGCCTGAGAGGCAGCGGGCAGCATGCGGGACTCCTGCATCAAAAGAACATCACTGTAAATGGACTCCGACAGGTACGCGTCGAGGCCGACTTGCCCGCCGACGTTGGCGGTGATGATCGACCAAACCTTCTGCGCCTTCCTGCTAAACAGAAGGCCGATCAGCCGCAGCGGCAGGGGTACCGATCGGGTCGTCAAACGGGGTGCACTTAAACTTCTTCTGCGCAGCGTCATTGAGCCCACCGACGATGTTGTCACACTGCTTGCGAGACAAGCCCTTGGCCTGCAAGAGCTTATCCCATCCCTCGTCGGTGGTGAGACGCTGCAAAAAAGACGAGAAATGAGCGGAAGCTTGCTGGCCGCCAGCCCCTCCTTGTGCCGAGTCGCTTTTCCCGACACCCCCCTTCGCCGCCCCCCCTCCAGACGGCGCAAGGGTGGCAGGCGCAGCGCCTGGCGCGAAGGGCGACCCTGCTGCACCGAGCGCGTCTCCTCCAAAGACGGCTGTGGCGGCGGCAGCAACGTCAAGGGACTGCGGCTCAGAGACAGGAGCGTCGCGCATGCCGTCGTCACTGTCGCTGTCGGCCTCCTCACTGCCATCGTCCGCGGGGCGTAGCATGCCATCGCGAGTAGCAAGAAGAGACCGTAGCGAGCTCGCAAGACCTTTGTCCATGGCCTCGAGCTGCAGCAACAAAGCGAAGGCAGGATCAGCGGGCTGAACTTCTGCGATACCACCGCCAGGAGGCCGAGCCCGCACAGGACCGCTGCTGGCAGCAGCCCAGGCCGAGGTGGCTTTGGCCGCACACGCGAGCTCATGCGCCTGGACCTGCTCGAGCATGGCCTTGAGCGCCACGGGCTCCAAAAACTTCTCCTGCACGTGACCTTCAAGCTTGTCGACCTTCTGCTGCACTTGCAACGCCTCGCGCTTGGCCTCGTCGTAAGCCATCTGGGCGTGCTTGGCGACCGCCTTGGGGTCACCCGCCACCAAGGCCCTCTGGGCCAAGACCCTGGCCCGCTGCGAAGGGCCCAGGAGCGACTTGGAGGTCTCGAAGTCCGCATCGGACATCTTGACGAACACGGAGAGCTGAGAGGAATCGAGCAGCGGGACCTTGGGCTTGGCGTCCTTCTGCCGCGGTGCCCCGTGAGCCCAGTCCCCTTGCGGGGGCGGAGCTGGGCGAGTAGCGGGCATAGGAGGACGCTCAGCACCACATATGTAGCAATACTTCTTGAACGCGAAGTTGTTCTTGAAACCGCACTTCTTCTTGGGACAACACCAGACATCGCCGCCGCCGCGACTGGTACCTCCCATGAAAGCTTGAACCTGCAAAAGTGCTCCAACAGGAGCTCACAAAATGGAGCCTGCACAGGGCAGAGCGTGTGGACGGTGGGGGCCGCAAATCCCCCTCGCCAGTGAGGCCAGGTCCTGAGCCAGAGAAACGCTACGGACTTGAGCCAAAATGGCTACGGACCTCCTCATCCTCCTCCTCCTCCTCCTCCTCCCTCCTCCTCCTCCTCCTCCTCCACCTCCTCTTCCTCCTCCTCCTCCTCCTCCTCCTCCTCCCCTCGGGGGAAAACGCCAATGCCGTGAGCAGAACCACTCGAAGGTCTGCCCGGATCTCTTGGAATGGCGCTGGACTCCCCCAGCGGCGCCTCTGGAGCAGCCTTAAGTCGGGCCTGCCCCGTTACAGGAGGAGTACTCAAAATAGTAAAACAAAATATCCTGGGGACTAGTTATTATAACTGTTTGACCATTTGGGGGTATGTTTAATTTTCGTAGAAAATGCCCCTGTGGGAGGACAGGCCCGACTTAAGCGCAGCCCTTGGCACGCTCCGCGCGTCAGGGAGGGGGTCCAGCGCCGATCCCAGCAATAACGCGTGGACCTTCGAATTCATGTTCATGTCTTGAAGATCTCTGAATGGACCTCCGCAGAGAAGGCAAGAGAAGTGCCTTAGAAGAGGCAGGTGCGGCTGTTGTCAGCGCATAGACGCGGCAGGCCGGAGCCAAATTGAGTTGAAACCAAATAGAGACCGATTGACGGTTGACGTCGACAGTTAACGAAAAACACAACAAAAGGGTGGTGACGAGAGACGACGCCAGACCGCGCCCGACGGCAAGCGACGACAGACGACGAGGAACGACGAAAGACGACGACGGCGGCGGCGGCGGCCTGGACGGCGAGGGCATGCTTGGCTGCGACGTTGAGGATGCCGTCGCTGCCGCTGTCGCCGCCGTCGCCGCCGCCGCCGCCGCCGTCGCCGTCCTCGCCGTCGCCGCCGGCGCCGCCGCCGCCGACGCCGTCGCGGGGGCGCTCTGTCCTTGGCGGCGACGTTGAGGATGCCGTTGGCGTCGATGTCGAAGGTCACCTCGATCTGCGGCACGCCCCGGGGCGCCGGCGGCACGCCGTCCAGCCGGAAGGTGCCCAGGATCTTGTTGTCCTCGGGCGCCGCCAGCGTTCGAGGAGCGAGGGCTCGGGAAGATGGGGGAGGCTCGAGGATCGAGCATCGGGCCGGCGAGACTCGAGGATCTCTCCCTGTCTTCGAGATTCGCCAAAAGAGGTTGGAGGATCGATTGGGCGGCGCGCAGAGGGGAGTAGGGGGGGGGGGGAGAAGGCTTCTTATCGGGGATGGACAGACCTCCTTTTAGTAAAATGTGGTTTAGTGAAAACGACCTGAGGCCCAAACCTGGCGGGCGCAGGCCTGGGAAATAACGGCCACGGCGCCCTCTCGAGAACCGAAAACGCACAATTCACTAATCGACGTGTCACTGTTGGGGGTTCTGTCCACCCCCGATCTTAGAAGAAGGCTGATTCTCAGAAGGCACCGGCTCCACACCTACAGACAAGGCCCGCGCCTTCTGGGAAGCAGGGGTGCTTCTGAGAAGCCTCCCCCCCTCTCGGTAGGCCCCCTCTGCGCGTGGCCGAATCGAGGATCCCAGACTTCCTCCGAACGGTTCGTTGCAATTTTAGCCCATGCCCTGTTTTTGTTGTCCTTTCAACTCCAGTCACACCAGGTTGGGATGGCATATCAAGCAGAGGAGCAGGGCGAGCCACCCCTGCAGGGCAACCCATGCCCTGTTCCTCAATTTCGGCATCTGGGGGTAACAGGGCCGCCAAACACCAGGGGAGGTTGGCCTGGGGGAAGGGCCGCGGCCTCTGGGACCCAAGAGGTTTGAGCAAGCCAGTGCGCCGGCAGACTGGGATCGAGATTGGAGGATCGATTTGGACGCCCGAAATGGGTACGGCAGAAATGGGCACACTGCCCAACAACAAATGCTGTCCAAAACCGACAGCAGCCGCTGCTGGGCAGGCGCCTTGTCTGTGCTCAAAGAACAACGTCCGCGGCGACGCGGACAGCGAGCCCGGGTCAAAATGAACAAGAGCTGCTGTTCGGCCTCGTACCCAGTCTTTCTGTACCCAGTTCGATCGTCCCGAACCCAGGCCCCGTGGGCATTTGCGTTTTTGGGGGGACCGGCAGCGGCACGCCACCACTCACCATCCCCGGCCAAGAAGGCCCGCCCCAGGAGAGCGCACCCGTCGGTCGGAAGACCTGGGTCGGAGCATGAAGAGGGACTGCGTTGACAGTAGTGGGCTGCCGCCCGTCCTCTGACGAGGAGGGAAGAGGGAACACCACTCGCAAAATAGGTAGGCGCCTAAAGGAAACTCGCCATCGCACGGACGCTCATTCCCCGTGCCTTTGTTCGATTTCGCGCGTCTATCTTGTTCGCAGGATGCTCCAATCTGCTCCTCGATGGCCCTCGCCGAAGAGAAAATGCACACGTCCGAGCAATGCAAGGTAGATTGGTCCTTGGGCATCCAAAAAGGCCTCCTGGCCCCGACCTGGGGCGCGCAGGATGGCCTCGGACAGGCATGGTGCATTGCTGCCTTCTGTTGGCTCCTGGGCCTCCAGCAACTAGCGGCGACCTCTGGGGCCTGCGAACCTCCGGAGCCAGGCGTCTCCCCGTCCTCCGCCTCCTCCTCCTCCTCAGCCTCCGTCTCCGCCTCCGCCTGCTCCTCCTCCGCCTCCGCTTCTGCTTCCTCCTCCGCCTCCGCCTCCGCCTCCTCCTCCGCCTCCGGGGGGGAGGAGGAGGGGGAGGGGGAGGAGGAGGAGGAGGAGGAGGAGGAGGATGAGGAGGATGAGGAGGAGGAGGAGGGGGAGGAGGAGGAGGAGGAGGGGGAGGAGGAGGGGAGGGGGGGAAGGAAGGAGGAGGGGGGGAGGAGAGGAGGGAGAGGAGGGGAGGAGGAGGAGGAGGAGGAGGAGGAGGAGAAGCAGGAGGAGAAGCAGGAGGAGGAGGAGGAGGGGGGGGAGGAGGATGGAGGGGGGATTTGTCCTGTCTCTTCGGCAATTTCCAGGCCTCGTACCGTCGAGCCACCACGACGCCTCGCGAGGAGGAGAGCTGGTCCCGGGGGGGAGGGCTACAGAAATCCAGCGGGCGGCGACGCCACATCGACTCGCCAGGGCCTGGGCCTCGGCCTCCGCCTCCGAGGTGCTGCCACGATCCGCCGGGCGCAGAACTTCCGAGCGAAGCCCCTCCCTCGCGAGGCCCAAAGCGACCGCCCGACCTCGAAGACGCTTCCAAAAACACACACACACACACACACCAGAGACCCGAGACTGGTTCACAACCCAAGCGGGATGGCGGGCGCAGTTCACTAGATACGGAGCGAGGCCCCTCGCCCCGCGCTAGCTCTAGACACTCTGCTGGGCTCCGAGCGGACAACCACGCCGAGTTCATTACGAACCCAAAGATCATTTCCATCGCCAAGTTTTGGGGAGGGGGGAAGGGGAAGGAGTAGATGGATGCCCAACGGAATAGGACCTCGGCAACAATGAGCCCTGCGGTTCATAGGGCAAGCCATAATCTAAAAAACCAAAGCAAGGGACCTGGGGAAAGCACACGATGTCGTACCCACAGTAGCCCTCCTTCTCCTCCTCCTCTTCCTCCTCCTCCTCATCATCATCATCATCACCATCATCGTCGTCGTCGTCATCATCATCCTCATCATCATCATCCTCATCCTCATCCTCATCCTCATCCTCGTCCTCGTCCTCATCCTCATCCTCATCCTCATCATCATCACCATCAGCATCATCATCACCATCAGCAGCATCATGACAACCAACCCCATCATCATCGTCATCATCATCATCACAATGATCATGATCATCATCAGCAGCATCGTCATCTCATCATCATCTGATAATCATCTCAGTGTCATCATCTCATCATCATCATCATCATCATCATCATCATCATCATCATCATCACCATCACCATCACCATCATCATCACCATCACCATCACCATCACCATCACCATCACCACCATCATCATCACCATCATCATCACCATCATCATCATCAGCATCAGCATCAGCATCATCATCATCATCATCATCATCATCAGCATCAGCATCAGCATCATCATCATCATCATCATCATCATCGTCATCGTCATCGTCATCGTCATCATCATCATCATCATCATCATCATCATCATCATCATCATCATCATCATCATCATCATCATCATCATCATCATCATCATCCTGCTGCCTTCGTCCTCGTCCCCGCCCTCCTCATCCTATGCCTCCTCCTCCTCCACCTCCCCCCGATCCTCATCCTCCTCCTCCTCCTCCTGCTCCCTCCTACTCTTCTTTGTTTCCTTCCGCCTCCTTCTCCGTCCCCCCCCTGCCCCTTCCGGCTCCCAGACCAGAATGTTCTCGTTTTTCCTTGCTCCTCCGCAGCGCTCCGACAACCTCTGGAGCCGGCAGGAACCACAGGAAGCAATCGATGAGTATCGTTTAACCGATCCCCATGCCCAGCGGCGTGGCCTGGGCCCCACTGGCCGATTGATCCCCCTAGATGGGGATATAGGTCGTTCCCTTCGGGTTTCGAGGAGTGTATCCCCAACTGGGGTGGTGATTTGGTGGGGGTCTCGAAGGGAATGGGGATGGGGATGGGGATCGGTTAAACGATACTGGCCATCGAGAACCGCCGAACAACGCTTAAGTTGGGCATGTCCCCCTACAGGGGGATTTTGGACGAAAAATCAGAATAATCGAACAAATACACCAAAACACAAGCAACTGGTCAAACAATCGTCCCCTGAATACTTTTTGGCTGCTTTTGAATATTCATCCTATACCATCGACTTGATACTGACCATCGATTATGTTGTTCCCATCGTACTTAAGGACCGCATCCCAGAAATAATTTCGAGCACCCGGAACAGTGTCAAAAGGGTGTAGAAGCAGTGTCGGGCAAGTGTCTCCCAGGGCCCGACACGTGGAAACCTCTGAGTTTTTGGGGTACTTTTTGGGGCGCTCGAAATTCCTCCTGGCGATCAAGGCTAAAGTACTCCAGATTTCGTAATTAAAGGGAGGGGGTCGCAATCCTCCCAGACCACAAGTTTTAGACCCCCCAGACCATCCACGAAAGAGCGGCCCTTTGCCCAGACCCCCCCCGAACCCTCAAGACAGCTGAAATCAGACCCCCCCCCCCAAATGTGACCCCCACCACTTTATTGTGGAATCCGGAGTAGATTGGAGCATCCTAAACTGACCATCGAGAACCGCCGAACCGGGGGCGCCCCGTCCTTGGCGAACTGCCGCTCGCCCTGCAGCACCACGATCTCCACCGACGGCTGCGAGTCCACGGCGGTCGAGAAGACCTCGGTCTTCTTGGTCGGGATCGTGGTGTTCCTGTCGGCGGTGGGCAGGGCCCCCACCCCGACGCGTCGATGAATGAACTGTCCGTTTTCGGCTCTCAAGAGGGCGCCGCGGCCGTCCTTTTCCAGGCTTGCGCCCGCCAGGTTTGGGCCCGAGGTCGTTTTCACCAAACCACGTTTTACTAAAGGGGGTTCTGTCCATCCTCGATCCTGTCGGGGGTGGACAAACCTCCCTTTGGTAAACCTCCCTCTCGTGAAAACGGCCTGGGAGGACCGAAGCCGACGGGCCTGGACCCGCAAGAAGGACGGCCGCGACGCCCTCTCGCGAACCGAGAACGGCCAATGCGCCAATCGACGTGTCAGGGTGGGAGGTCTGTCCACCCCCGATCCTGGAGATCAGCACCGTGGCCACGCCTCCCAGCGTCTCGACGCCTGGGTACAGAGGGCGAGCACAGAGCAGGCCCGGTGGACTGGGGGGGACTGGGGCAGCGGAGGTCGTCGCCCCATCGGGGGCGGATCCTGCGGGGTCGGGATGCCGCACCGCATGGCCGATGCGCCAGCGACGTGGAAAATCACGACAATCGTGCTCCGGAACGGACCGCGTCGCCGGTGCATCGGCGATGCGGCGCGATCCTTCGACCCCATGTTCTCGGGACCCTTAGATGGTCGGCTGGATCGAAGAGAGAGGGGGGGGGGGGAGTTTGGCGACCTTCGAAAGGGGCCAGCTGCAAAGGCGTGGTGCAATAGATTTGGGGCATTGTATTGCAGATGCATGGAGACTTGTGCTGCATTCTATTGCAGGTAATGCATTGCACGCGAACATTTCAGCGATACATGTGCATCCCAGAATGTATTGCACGCCCCCAACGTAGTGCAACCCTTGTCGCTGGACCCCCCTTTCGGGTCAACCCGAGGGGAGCACGGGGACATGTCCTGCCTATTCCTGCCTGCTCGGGGGCCCCCGTCCCCCGTCCCACTCGCCTCGCCCAGGGCCCCCCCTCCTTCCCACGGCAGAAGAGAAAATACACTGGCGGCACACTTTGGTACTGAGACTGGAAGTGTGTTCCCACCTAGAAGGGAACGAAGAATGGCAGGGACATGAAAACTCGGAGGTCCGCGCGGCTTTCTCGGATCGGAGCGCGCCAGCGGCGGCGCCAGAGGCGCCGCCAGGGGGCCCCAGCGCCGATCCGAGAACTCCGCGCGGACCTCCGAGTTTGTATGTGTATGTCATTGTTTGTTCCCCCACATTGGGACTGGAACGCGTTCCCACCTAGCCGGCGGAAGGCGCTCGAGCGCGGTCCCGTTTCGGCGACTACGTGAGAGAGGAAGACGCGGGCCGCGCACGTGGCGGGAGCCAAACTTCAAGAGGACCCCTGCGCGGCGCTGCGGCGACAACACATCTTGGCACTGTCTCGGGCGGCCGCCATGCCAAAGATGCGGGCCCCAAGAATGTACACCACCACCACCATGTTGATTCCTCCTCCCTCTTCCACCCTCATCTTCCTCTCCCCTTTCCTGGGAGAGGGAGGGGATGAGGGAGGTGGTGGTGCTGTATACCTTTGGGCCTCGCCAGTGAGCGCGGCGAGAACAAAACATGCGTCGCGCCGACACAGAACTGCCGCGTTCTACGCGCAAGCTGCTCATCGTGTGGGCGACGACAACGTGTTGCCCGCTCTCGCGCGGCCCCGCTGCCGCTGCCGTTCTCGTGCGCTGAACCAGCTGGAACAAACAACACGGCGCACACACGAGGGAGCGCGACTTCCAGGCGAAACCCGCACGGAGCTGAAGCGATGGCGCCCCCAACGACGTGGCCAGTGAACATGTGCGCGGCGCCAAAGTGGGAGCGCAACTTGCAGGCGAAATCTGCGAAGCGCCGAGGTGAGAGCGACATGTTCGTTTGCTCGCGGGTCGACGATATGGCGAGCGCAACTGGTGCTCCGCGCCCAAAAATGAGCTCAAGCCCGAGGACACACGCGCGCGGAGCCAAAATGACAACGTCATGCCGTGCTCTCGCACAGGATGTGCGCCCCGTCCCATGCCCGCCACACATGGTGCAACGTCAATGATAGTCAATGTCGACAGGGGACTCGTATTATGTCGGGCGTGTCCCCCTACAGGGGGATTTTCTACGAAAAAATGAAAAATCCGCCGGCCCCCTTGTGGGGCCACCAGGCTGTAGGCGCGGGTTCGCAGTCTCCTGTACCAGTTGTAGCTTGTAGTTTCCAGTGTTACAGTTCTGCTTCTTGCTGGTTACTGTAACTAGTTGATTGACCGCGCGAGGGGGGGGAGGCCCAAACCAGATATTTAGCACCTCCTGGGCGCGTTGTCTGAATTGCTGGGGGGGCTCGAAATCGACAACCCTCACACAGATCGGCGGGGTCAGGGTCCAAAAACACAGCTTGTAGTTTCCAGTGTTACAGTTCTGCTTCTTGCTGGTTACTGTAACTAGTTGATTGACCGCGCGAGGGGGGGGAGGCCCAAACCAGATATTTAGCACCTCCTGGGCGCGTTGTCTGAATTGCTGGGGGGGCTCGAAATCGACAACCCTCACACAGATCGGCGGGGTCAGGGTCCAAAAACACAATGGATTTGCCACATTTCTGAAATTCGGTGCCACCCCTCACGCAGATCCGCGGGATCAGGGTCCAAAAACATAGGGGATTTGCCACATGTCTCAAAAACACAGGGGATGTGCCACATGTCTGAAATTCAGTGCCACCCCTCACGCAGATCCGCGGGGTCAGGGTCCAAAAACATAGGGGATGTGCCACATGTCTGAAATTCAGTGCCACCCCTCACGCAGATCCGCGGGGTCAGGGTCCAAAAACACACGGGATTTGCCACATTTCTGAAATTCGGTGCCACCCCTCACGCAGATCCGCGGGGTCAGGGTCCAAAAACACAGGGATTTGCCACATTTCTGAAATTCGGTGCCACCCCTCACGCAGATCCGCGGGGTCAGGGTCCAAAAACACAGGGGATGTGCCACATTTCTGAAATTCGGTGCCACCCCTCACGCAGATCCGCGGGGTCAGGGTCCAAAAACACAGGGGATTTGCCACATTTCTGAAATTCGGTGCCACCCCTCACGCAGATCCGCGGGGTCAGGGTCCAAAAACACATGGGATTTGCCACATTTCTGAAATTCGGTGCCACCCCTCACGCAGATCCGCGGGGTCAGGGTCCAAAAACACAGGGGATTTGCCACATTTCTGAAATTCGGTGCCACCCCTCACGCAGATCCGCGGGGTCAGGGTCCAAAAACACAGGGGATTTGCCACATTTCTGAAATTCGGTGCCACCCTTCACGCACATCCATCGCAAGGCGTGGTAACCCAAACTGCGAGAACTCCCTCGGCCCTTTAATCGCAAGGTGTGGTAACCAAGCCCGTAAACCATACACGTCTTACCAATCGCCAGGTGTGGTAACCCCTCTTGTGATCAGTTGGTTTTGCTGATTGCGAATCGGCTTCGCATGAAGTTTCGATACTGCTTCACGACAGCGCCAAGGCCTCATGACTTAGCTCTTCCATGGCCCATTCTCCGAGAGAGGGGGCCAGCGGCAGGGGGCGAAGCCCTTACGGATAAAAAAATACACCAAAAAGGTAAAACATACTCAAACATAGTCCCCAGACTATTGTTGGATTATTGTTTGATTATTTATGTTTTTTTATTTTTCGTCGAAAATCCCCCTGTAGGGGGACAGGCCCGACTTAAGACTCGTAACGTTTGCATTGCTTCGCTTTGATTCCTGGCTGCATCTGCTGGACAGGTGGCCAGCTGGGAGTATACACCACAGGCCCCGCAAGGGCGGATGACAGTGAGGGGCGGATGTCGGCAATCAGCAGGGGCCGAGATCAGGACAAAAAAGAATAAGCCCGCCGCAAGCGCCGATTGTTTCTGGAACACCTCAAACCCGGACACCGTCGCAGTACGCGCCGATTGGGTGCGCCGCGGGTGGGTCGGGGCTGGGTCGCGGGCAAAGACGGCAGCAAGCACGTACAGTCAACCCGTACAGTAAGGATGCGCGGTAAGGATGCAAGGGCCTCAAAAGACGATGTTGACGTTTTTCGGACGAGGATGGCCAGCGAACGTCGCTACGGATGGGCAGAAGGGGCAAGGATGCAAGGGTACCCTTGGGAAAGTTGCCCATCCTTCCTATGCGGGTTGACTGTAGTCGCTGGTCGCTCGTTGTCAAAGGTCGCGCGGGCGGGGCACTCCAGCGGGCTGGCGGGCCTCCTGCCACGCGCCGGGGACGGACCGAATCGGGTCCACGCAGACCCGGGTCGGTCAGGCCTTGCAAGATTCCTGCATGATCCTGCAGGAGGGGGATGAGGATGAGGATGAGGATGAGGATGATAATGATGATGATGATGATGATGATGAGGAGGAGGAGGAGGAGGAGGAGGAGGAGGAGGAGGAGAAGGGGGAGGAGGAGGAGGAGGAGGGGGAGGAGGAGGAGGAGGAGGAGGAGGAGGACGAGGAGGAGGAGGAGGAGGAGCAGGAGGAGGAGGGTCAGTGCAGCCCTGGCCCTGTAGGATCCTGCAAGGCCCGGCGCTCCGACTGGACCCCCGTTGGCACTGAGCCCCGTCCCTGGAGCACCGACGGGGGAAGCCGCAGCGGCAGACCTCGGCGGGCCAGTGGGCCTGCGTCGGGGCAGCGGAGGAGCCGAGGTCGCCCCCCCCGCCAGGCCGAATCGGATCGCAAGGGGAGCCGTCGACATCGCATCGACTCGCATCGGAGGAATGGAAACGAGCCCTGGCGGGCGGACCCCCCCAACCGGTGGGTCTCGGGCTGGGCGAAAGGAGGGGATATCAAAGGGGGAGTTTGAGAATCGGCTCACGTATAGCTGATCTTCCCCCGGCGCCTCCCGGCGCCGGAGGCGCCCATGTGTCCAGGACTGGGCCCCTCGGCGGGGCCGAAACCAGCTGCATGCAACAGATTTCGTAACCCCCCCTTTCTCTGTGCCCCCCTTTCGTCCGGCCCGAGGGTCGGACAGGCAGACCAGCAACGAGCGGGTCGGGCGGGACAGCGAGGCGGGCGGCCAGGATTCCAGCAGGCGAGCGGGCGGGTCCCCACGGCAAGGGCCGGGCGGGCGGAGCCCTCACGGGCGGGTCGGTCGGGCGGGCCCTCACGGGCGGGTCGAGCTGGCGGGGCAGGGAAGCGATCTCCGCAAATTGAAAAAGAGCCTCGGGCGAGAGCGTGAATCCTGGGCGTCGAGAGCGCAGCTTCTTGACAGATTGCGAGGACGTCCTGGGTGAGAGCGCGAATTTCTTGAATACATGGCGAACGACATCTCAAGCGAGAGCGGGAGGCGGGAGCCGTTGTTGTGGTAGTCCCAGGACCAACAACGCAGTTCGAAGCTGATGACTTCCCCTGACAAGAGCCAGGGTGCGAGCCTCGAGTGAGGCTGTTCAGTTGAAATATCAAATGCGCAAATAACTGTTCTGATGGGGCGCTCAAGCATTCGAATTGGAACTTATTTCGGCACACCCCTCTCGCGCTTCGCCCTTCTGAACTCTTAGAGGCACGCAGCTGGCCTTTCAAGACTGCTGAATGGGGCCTCATTTCGGCACACCCCTCACGCACTTCGTGCCACGTGGACCCAGGAAGCTCTCAATTTGCGCCCCAAGACGGCCGAATGGGGGCCTCAATTCGGAGCATTCTCACGGAGATTGAGCCCCATGGACCTCTGGAGACTCTCGGCTGGGCCGCCGAGACGTCTCGAGGGAGCCTCAAGTCGGCACACCCCTCACACTTCGTGCCCCAGGGACTCCCAAGGGCTCCCAATGAAGCCCTCAAGACGACTCGACGGAGCCTCCATTCGGCGCACCCCTACCGCACCTCGTGCCCCCCACAGATCAGGAGAGCCCAGAATCGAGTCGATAAGTCGGATCGGCGGTCGAAATGAATCGGATCGGCGGAAATCGGCAGCCGAGTCGGGAAACACCGAATCGACGGAAATCGGCAGGCTAATATGCCTCCAATAAGAAATCGGAACACAAATCGGCATCCCAAGTCGAATCGAGCCAGAATCGGAAGCCGTCGAAGTCGAATCGAATCGAATCGGAGGAATCCAACTGAGCTCTGCCACAGCTGTCCAGAGGCGGACAGCGAATTGGCCTCTCAAGACGGCTCAACGGAGCCTCAATTCTGCATACCACGAGAGCCTCTCAAGACGGAGCGGGGGAGCCCCACGTCTGCATACCCCTCGCACTCTCAGTGCCAGGTGTACGTCGGCCCCCAAGGGGCGCACGGCGGGATCCCAAACTGCGCGACCCCCGAGGAACGCCGGAAGATTGGCCCGAGAGAGATTGCGGCGCCACGCAACGAATAGAGTGGAGTCCATACTCCCTCCCTCGTGAACACCCCTTGGATGCGAAACCTGCCTGCGAATTTCCCCCTGGGCCGCCAAGATCGCCTCGCGGAAGTCCTCCCAAATGCAAATGCTGCAACGATGGTCACCGATCCTCCACGACGGCCTCCCAACGCCCGAACGGACGCCAAGAAGCGCCCCCCCACCAGCAAAAGCCGAGATGGCCCCAAGACAGTGTTTGATGGAAGCCAACAGGTAGAGGCGAACTCTGCGGTGGCGACGAGGGCCTTCCAGGAGGCCGAAACCAAAAGGAAAACGGATGCGAAGTGTAGCAGTATCGGTACCTGTTCCTCCTCCGAATTGTGCAACTTGGTGGCGAGCGCGGGGGGTAAACGAGAAGGGGCGGGCCTTCTCAGAAGGCTCGGACGCCCTCCTGCCTTCTGAGAAGCCCCGCCGCCATCTGAGAAGGCCTTCTCCTTCTCACTTCCCCCCCTTCGCTCGCCGCCGAAAGGAAGATCGGGCGGGTGGACATTGGGGGTGGCCTGTATTGATGGGCCTGTTTTCCACCATCACCACCCTAAGTTGGATGGGGGGAAGGAGGAGGAGGAGGAGGAGGAGGAAGAAGAGGAGGAGGAGGAGGAGGAGGAGGAGGGAGGAGGAGGAGGGAGGAGGAGGACCCCCTCCAACATGGTGGTGGTGGTGGAAAACAAACCCACCATGTATCGGGCGTGAAGAGAAGGGCCCCACGATGGGCCCTTCGGGTCCCCCTTTGGGCCCCTGGCTGGCTCCGAAGGGGCCTCTCTGGGGCACGCCTCGTCACCCCCCGCCCAGGTCACCCGCATCACCACCCGCCCGAGAGGAGAACGACGACGAGGAGCAGGATTACGTCGGGCCTGCCCATCTACAGGGGAATTTTGGACAAAACATGATAAATAATAACAAATGCCCCAAAATGCTCAAAAATGGTTTAAAAAAATCCTCCACAAACTATGTATTCAACTATTTCTGAATATTCCTCATGAGCAGGAGCCCCATGCGCTTCGAGCGCCCCGGCAGGCCCAGCGACAGGGGCGTCACGTCCAGCAGCACGATGTCCTCTCGGCCAGCTGGGTCCGCAGGGGCGGGACGGACGGCAAACCATCCTTCCCCATCCCCCCCTTTTCCGCGTTCCCCCAGCGCATGTTCCCGTCCTCCTCTGGCTCGTCGCCCTCGCACTCCGCCTCGTCCGCAGCATGCTGCCGCCCCAGCCCTCGTCCCTCTCGTCCTCCTGTCTCCTCCTCGCCCTCCTGCCGATCACCATCCTCTCCCATTGCCCTTACTTCCTCTGCCGCCTTCATCTCCTCTTCATCATTCTTGCCCCCCACCCCTCTGTCCATCTCTCTCCCTCGTCGCACCACTAATTAGGCGTGCCGTCAGGGCGATCTAAGAGCCTCGCCTGCTTCCCCAGACCCTGCTTGAGCCTGGCGGGCCGCACTCGTGCGACGCCGGGCGTCGGACCGCTGTGGCGGAGCTCCGCACGGTGATGGGCGGCGCATGGGCGGCACGTGGGCCCCCGGCGCGGAACGGGGTGCCGCGCACAGGTCCCCGCCTGCAGTCCGAGGAGCGGCCCTCTCGAGAGACCGAGGTCGGCCGGCGCCGCCCGCTCCGGGGGCACTGATGGCGAACGAACGACACACACACCCATACCCATAGGGGGGTCCTTGCGAGGAGGACTGGCTATGGGTACGGGTGCGGATTGCCCGACCCTGGGGAACGCTCCCGTCCGAGCGTGGACCCCCATCCGACAACACGCACCCATAGCCGTCTCCGACCCCCCTATGGGTATGGGTGTGTGTTGTCGGTTCGTCAACTGAGGCCCCAGCGCCCCTCGAGAGGCCAGAGTCAGCCGGCGCCTCTGGCTCCCGGCAGTCTGGGTGCTGCGCGGCGAGGGAGGAGAGAGGGCTCTGGCTGGAGGGCGGCCGTGGGCGCAGCGTGTGGGGGCACGGTTTAGCCGCCCCCTATCCCCGTGAGCGTGGCCTGGGCCCCATTGGCCGATTGGCCCCCCAGATGGGCATCTGGGCCGTTCTCGCCGTCGCTCGGACGTCCATTTCCCGTGCATTTGTCGGTTTCGTGCGTGTTTTTTTTTGCTCGCTGGTCGAGGATGGTCCTCGATGGTTCTCGCCGAGAAAAAAAAAAGCACACGTCCAAGCGATGCCAGGCGTTCCCCTCGAGTTTCGAGATGTGTGTGTCCCCAACGGGGGTGCAAGGATGCGGGGGGTCTGGATGGGGACGAGGATGGGGATGTGGATCGGTGAAACGATACCGATCGTGGGCGCCCCCGGCCGGCCGCTGGGAAGTGTCGGCGTGGCGCGCGAATCCCCACCGTGCCCCCCCCCCCTCCCCCTCGCACAGGGACACACTAATACTAGATGTGTCATCCCTGGAGGCGCACGTCCGACCCGAACATATCATGTCCCCGTCTTGTAGTATAGCGTTTCCCGAGCGGTGCGGCCAGAAAGCGCCCGCCACGACGCATATACTACGAATATTTCTCGGTGCGCGCGTCGCCACTGGGGGGGGGCGACGCACACATGGTATAAGTATGTTTGAAGGGGCCTAAAAACATACATATAAAAACACACAAATCCCAAGATTCCCTATACTTTCACATATCTTCTGGGTTTCTGCCTCCCCCCCACTGCCCATAGTTTCCTATATTTTCTGCGGAATCGACGATGAATTGTGTCTGTGTGTTTTTCCCCTCTTGAATGTTGGGGTGGCGCCGACTTCAAGGCCAATGGCCCAAGGCTCTGCGTCGGGCCGAGCCCGCTCGTCGGGGATCCGTAGTTCCGTCGGACTCGCTCCGCGACCAATCTCGCTCGCTCGCTCCCTGCCCGTCCTCCCGCTTCCACAAATAACTACACACAAATAACAGGATTCCATATATCCCCCACTGGGGATCGACGATTCGTTGTGTCTGTGTGTTCTTTCCCTCCTGACGCTTCTCCTTCCGCTCCCGTCCTCGTGCGTCCAGCTGTCGTTCCTCCTCCTCCTCCTCCTCTGAAAACGCTCCACGACATCCCAGAACCGCCTAGCGGCCACTGGAACCCCCACACGCCCTCAACAATTCCCACAAAAAAATCCTGCTCACTCATCCTAATCGTCCTCCACCTTCATCTACCTCTGCCGGACCTGCACCTCCACCAACCGTGATTCCGGGCGGAGCCAGGCAAAATACCGAGCTCGCCGAATGACTGATTATGTCCGTGGACAACTCGGGGAACATATGTTGGACCGCGGGCATCCGGAACCGTATCCGCGACGGGGCACGCCAACGCATGATGGGCCTCGGGCACGCGCACCTGCAATCCCAACCACGACCGTACACGTCGGTCGGAAGAAGTAGGTAGAAACATGAAGTAGGAAGGCGGATATAGTGGATTGGGTCCAGGTCCTCCCAGAGACAAAACACAGCAACAGCATGTCGATTCTTGAAGTAGGAAGGCGCTTGAAGTAGATTGGGATCTGGGAATCCAAAAATACCTACTTTCAACGACCGGCGTGTAACCAGGCAACATAATTTGGCCACTGGCAGCCGCAGCTGCACCCGGACTCGCAACTGGGCATCACATGATGCAACCCGGCAACACATGGTGGGCCTGCACCCGCAACCGCGCCCTGAACAAGGCAGGCAACACCCACACACACACACACACACACACGGGGCCACGCCAGTGGCGGCGCCAGAGATGCCGAAGGGGTCCAGGGCCATCTCAAAAAATCCGCACGGAACTCCACATACACGCATAACTATGTTTTCTGCCGTACCCCTGGCCCTCGAATGAGATCGCTCTGGGAATGGAGCGACTCCCCTGATACCCACAAGCGATTGCCCGACCCGTGCGAGGAGGACAAAGCCAGGACGAGGATAACGCTCTGAGATCTGGTGGCTCCGGAAGATGTCTCGGGCGCCGCACCCTTCTCGCAGCGTTCTGGAACGCTCTGAGTCCCCCGAACGCTCTGGAACGGATTGATGAGGGGGCCCTGGGACGCACAATTAAATACACACAAATAACAGGATTCCCCATATGTTCCTATATTTTCTGGGTGTTTGTCGTCCCCACCACTTCCCATATGTTCCCATACTTTCTGGGGAATCGACGGTTAATTGTGTGTTTTTCTTCTGAATTGATCATCGTCCCAGCCCCATCCGAGCGCGGCCCGCGGTCCTTCACCTCGCCGGCAAGCACGCTCCGAGTCCCCCCAACGCTCCGGAGCGGATTGATCTGACTACCTACCGGGCCACCCCGACCCAACCCGAAGACCCGAATTGGACCCGAATTTCGGCTTGGGAGGAGGGTACGGGTTCCATGTGTTTTTTCAGTGTTCCCCGACCCCCCCCCGCTGGAAATCGAGGATCAATTGGGGTCTTCGGGTTGGGTTGGGGTGGTTCGGTGGGTGGTGATGATCCTCCTCCCAGCCCCGTCCGAGCGCGGCCCGCGGTCCTTCACCTCGCCGGCAAGCACGCCGGCCTGCACCGCGGCGCCGACGGCGACGACCTCGTCCGGGTTCACGCTCTGATTGGGGGCCTTCCCGCCGGCGAGCTCCGTGGCCAGCGCCTGGGGAGCCTCCTCCTCCTCCTCCTCCTCCTCCTCCTCCTCCTACTCCTCCTACTCCTCAGGGCAAGCGAGGAAGAAGGGGGGCATGGGGAGGGTAGGCAAGACCAAGCAAGGGCAGTTGCCGGCCCATGGTTCGGTGTCTTGTAAGGCGAGCTGCATCATCAGGCCGTGAGTAGCTAGTTACTCTCACCAACGTCGCTCCTGGCCCTGAGACTGTGGGCGCACGAACACACGGTCGGGAGGTGAGGGAGGGAGGAGGACGAGGTTGCTCAGGACGCGATCAAACAACGTGCGATCAACTCCTGACAGCGACACTCGATCAACAAGCAAACCTGTGTAGAGGGGACAAATTCACCCCCCACACGGCGTCACACTCCTAACAGCGGCACTCGATGATGAGGTGCAGCACGTGAAGGTGGAAGATGCGGGATGATGAGGATGGAGGTGAAAGAGGATGGAGGACGGAGAAGGAAGCGGGGACGGATGAGTCGGAGTGGAGGGATGGTGGGAAGAGGGTGTAGGCTGTAACCCTGCGAATCGGTTCAGACGCCCTCTGTGTTGTCGTCGGCACCGAAACGAGACGAAACTGAACAGCCTGGGGGGGGGGGGCGGACACCGCGGAACGATCGCATGCTGAGCACCGCGCCGAGCCGCAATCAAGGAACACGTATTGCCCGCCCGCCCCCGGCTATTGCAGCAGAGCTCTCGAACGCTTTTGGAAGGGCCCTGGGACACACAAATAAATAGATTCCCTATATTTTCCCATATTTTCTGGGTTTTTGACTTCCCCCCCCCCACTTCCCATATTTTCCCATATTTTCTGGGGAATCGCCGATGAATTGTGTCTGTGTTTCTTTCCCTCTTGAGCTCTGTGGCCCCATCGTGAAGCCTCGCGAAAGCCCCGGTGGCTCCGCTCGCCAGGGCGCTGCCGCGCCCGAGCGGGGGTCCTCACAGGGCCACGGGACACGATGGCTCCAGGGGCCGGCGGGCGCCCAGTGCCAGGCGCACGCTGCAGGGTGCTGGCTGCGATGTCGTTTCACCGGGAGGAGGGGGGAGGAGGAGGAGGAGGAGGAGGAGGAGGAGGAGGAGGAGGAGGAGGAGGAGGAGGAGGAGGAGGAGGAGGAGGAGGAGGGGTCCCAGGGTCCCAGGGTGGTCCCGGAGGAAGGGGAAGGGTGTGGGAAGACGAGGAATATAAGGTTGAGGAGGGAGGGCGAGGAAGAGGTCAGCCTGAACATGACAGTGGGGGCCGATCCGCAAGAAACCCACCGCAAGAAACCCAAGCATGAAATCCGCCGAGGTTTCTTGGTCCAGGGTTGTGCTTCTTGCACTTCAGCTGCAAACGAAGAAACCCAGGGAACCCTGGCCCGAGCGGTTTCTTGACTGCTGGCGCCAAGCAGTTCGACATCAAGAGACCCAAGCCAATCGAAAATGGCAGCCTCGGGCCTTGCACACACCGAAAGGCGACGACTTCTCCTCTGGGAGCAAGCGTCTTGCCCATGTGAATCAGGCCAGGGGGGCGAAGAGACCCAGGGCACCCTGAACGCAGCAACATTTCTCTGGATATCGGGCAGGCCCCCCGAGTGTGCCAGCGAACCCAAGTCAGACTGACACGCCCCCGCATGTGCATGCGCGGCACAACTGGAACAGCCGGAGTGGTGGACGAAGAAGCACAAGGTACCTGGAATGCCCGGAAGTTTCTTGGAGGTTCTGGCGAGCGCCCCGAAATTGACCAATGCCCCAGAAACCCAGGGTGCCCTGGCATTTGCAGTTTCTTTAAAGATTGCGGCAACCTTCCGCAGCGAACGGCAACCAAAGAAACCCAGGGAACCCTGACGGCGTTTTCAGGGTATTTCTTGTCATGGGCCCCACTGTTAATGCAGGTCAGAGTGGATGTACAGGTCGTCGGCTTCCCCACGCCCACGCGGACAACGAAACGTGCGTAATTGGGTCAACCTCCTGCTACCGCCATAAAAAAAAACTCCCTAAACGGGCAGCAGAGAAAGAGAGAGAAAGAGAGAGAGAGAGAGAAGGAGAACGATACTTAGGCTTCGTTCGAATCCAGCCTCAGCGGTTGTTGCCTACAGAGACCGAGCCTGCTCACTTCACACCGTGTGAGATGGGATTGCTCAGAGTGCCTCGGCCATCCAGTCCTTAGGTGGCCTAGGTGGCCTCGAACGGCCCCGAGACGGCCCATTAATGCCCCACGAGGTGGCCAAGATGGCCGAACGGTCGGCTTGAGACGGCTTCGCATTGGCCTCGAGACTACCCCAGGGCACCCCAAGGCTGCCACAGGCACTCCTCCCAAAACAACCTCAAAACCTCAGAACGGCTTCTCCCATGGGCCACAACATTCGCTGGCCCAACCGGCCAATCAGGGAGCACTAAACCGGGTAACGCCTAAACGGGGTAACAGACCCACTATGGGATCCAGGTGGAAAAACTGCAACGACCAGAACAAATTACTCACTGCGTGGAGCTCCCCATATGTGCATCTCATGTTTTATGTCATGTCGTGGTGAGCGTCTGTTCATGAGCGGTAATTTTCAAAACCGCCTTCCGCGAAAAGAGAGCATCCGCCAGATTTCCGCCGTTTGAGCCTCGGCGGCGAAGAAAGAGGAATGATACGAGGCAGATGGCGGGGTTTCTGACGCCGCGACCCTATCTGAGCGATTTGTGCTGCTCCCTGCAGCGTTCCGAGCGTTTCCTGCTACGGGTGCTGTCCCGAGCTCCGCGAGTGAATCCAGCGCGCCGCCAAGGACCTCCTCCTCCTCCTCCTCCTTCTCCTCTTCCTCCCCCTCTTCCTCCTTAACCCTGGTTCCCCAGGGCGCGTTTCACCACTTTTGGAGGCGCAGCCCCGCCGGCGATGTTGGGCATGAAAATGAGCAAACCGCCTGAGACATCCCCACAAAATGGCCGCGAACGAGCCCGTGCAAACACCCCTGGCGGCTCCCCTTAGAGGTGCTGAAACCAGCGCCCCGCCTGAGACATCCTCACAATCTGCTCTCCAAGCGAAGGATGTTGAGCCCAGAAACAAGCAAACCGCCTGAGACATCCCCACAAAATGGCCGCGAACGAGCCCGTGCAAACACCCCTGGCGGCTCCCCTTAGGGGTGCTGAAACCAGCGCCCCGCCTGAGACATCCTCACAATCTGCTCTCCAAGCGAAGGATGTTGAGCCCAGAAACAAGCAAACCGCCTGAGACATCCCCACAAAATGGCCGCGAACGAGCCCGTGCAACCACCCCTGGCGGCTCCCCTTAGGGGTGCTGAAACCAGCGCCCCGCCTGAGACATCCTCACAATCTGCTCTCCAAGCGAAGGATGTTGAGCCCAGAAACAAGCAAACCGCCTGAGACATCCCCACAAAATGGCCGCGAACGAGCCCGTGCAACCACCCCTGGCGGCTCCCCTTCGCCCCGCCTGAGACATCCTCACAATCTGCTCTCCAAGCGAAGGATGTTGAGCCCAGAAACAAGCAAACCGCCTGAGACATCCCCACAACATGGCCGCGAACGAGCCCGTGCAAACACCCCTGGCGGCTCCCCTTAGGGGTGCTGAAACCAGCGCCCCGCTTGAGATCATCCTCCAAATCTGATGTGTGTTGAGTAAGTCTGAGTATGAGTAGGTCTGAGTATGAGTATGCCTGAGTATGAGTAAGTCTGTGTATGAGTAAGTCTGTGTATGAGTAAGTCTGGGTATGAGTAGGTCTGTGTATGAGAAAGTCTGTGTATGTGTACGTCTGGGTATGAGCAAGTCTGAGTATGAGTAATACTGTGTATGTGTAAGTCTGGGTATGAGTAAGTCTGTGTATGAGTACGTCTGGCTGTGAGTAAGTCTGTGTATGAGTAAGTCTGTGTATGAGTATGTCTGAGTGTGAGTAAGTCTGAGTATGAGTAGGTCTGAGTATGAGTAAGTCTGAGTATGAGTAAGTCTGAGTATGAGTAGGTCTGAGTATGAGGAAAGAGGAGGAGGGGAGGAGGAAAGAGGAGGAGGGAGAGGCAGTAGGAGGCGTCCAAGTAATAACAAGAACCCCACCTTAGGATATGGGGAACAAATGCACTGCATTAAACTGCACTGCAAGTTGTTGGCAACTAAATGCGGAAAAACTGCAAACAAGCCCCACAGACCAGGTAACAGAGTGCATGAGCCAAAACCGTGCCAGAATCTCCGGCAAGTGGTTATGAGTATGTGAGGTCTTTGAAAAGAGAGCGGGCGGGCCTTCTCAGAAGGCTCGGAAATGTTGGGGCCTTCTGACTCAGAAACCTTCTAAAAAGGCCAGCCGGCCTCTGAGAAGCCCTGCAGTCTTCTGAGAAGCCTTCTTCCTTCTCGCCTCCCCTCCTCGCTCGCCGCCGAATATTGCTAGTTCGCGCGCGCTGAACGACCCCTGGGGGTCCCCCGAGGAGAAGTACCATGGGCAAATCTTGACAAGGCCCTGACAAGTCCCTGCCGAGGTCGACTCATGGATGCCAGAACTTCTGGGCGCGGGCTTCTGGAACCCTACGTCAGCGCTGCGCTCAAAAGGAAGCTCCAAGGGCGCCGACACAGCCCAAGAGCGCTCCAAGATGGCCCAAGATGGCCACAACATGGCCCCAAGTGCTTGGAAGACTGTCCGAAAAAGGCTGCAAGACGCCCAAATATGTGATTTCGCATTGGTTGCTTGTGATGCTTTGTGTTCTCGGTTTTCAGGGTTTCCGATAGCCCAAGACGGCCCCAAAGGCCTCCGAGATCGCTCCAAGGCGGCCCCGGAGACCCACACAACAGCCCTGAGACGGCCCAAACGGGCTACAAGACCGCCCAAGTACACCCAAGAGATTCCAGAGAGGCATCCCAAGAGAGAGCCACGAGGCATCCAGCACGCCTCTGACCCACGACCGACCCACGCAACGACGATACAAACTGGGCCGTCGGAATTAACGAATCGATGAAAAACAACAACAAAATGTTAACCTGCATGGACATCAGACAGTGCGTTTCTAGCCACACGCGTTGTGCCACCTGTGTTGCGCAACTGGTGCAATATATGTGGTGCGATCTATGTTGTGCAATCTACTCGGCGCAATATATCATATGCACTCAATGTGGTGCGATCTACGTCTTGCAATCCATATGGTGCAACATATGTGGTTCCATTGTTGTGTTAGCTTTGTGGTGCAGTCGAAGGTTTGCAACATATGTGGTAGGAACTATGTTGTGCAATATTTGTGATGCATGAATTTGTTGCGCGCTCTATGCGGTGCCATCAGTGTTGTGGAACCCGCGTAATGCAATCCATGCGGACCAATGTATATGTTGTGTAAGATATGTTGTGCAACCTAAGCGGTGCAACTCTGCGTGACGCACGGAATCATGTACAATGCATGTTGTGCAATCCACGTGGTGCAGACAAAGTGGTGGAATACCTAACAGGTGCACGCTATGTGGTTTAAAGCATGTTCGGCGCCCCTTGTGGTATATTTCACGCAGTTCCATAGATGTTGTGCGAGCTACGCGGCGCAATTTGAAGTGTGAATTCTTCTCGGTGGTGCAATCAATATGGCGCGAACTATGCGACGCAATACATTTTGCACACTATATGTGGTACACCCTATGCTTTGCAATACACCAGGTGCAATCAATGCTGTACAGCCCGTGCATAGTCATACATATATATATATATATATGAATATCCATATATCTATATACATATATCTATTTACATGTATATATGGTGTGCCACTAATGTGGTGCAATATATGTTGTCCAATCTATACGGTGCCTTTTTTGTGGTGCAATCTATGCTGTGCGATCTGTGTTGTAAACTTAACGCATATTTGCATTGAGTTGACAACTCCACCGCTCGCGCAAACATCCCGCCCACTCACCCGCAACTTGGCTTGCAAAACCCAAGCGGTGGCGATTGCGATGAATGCTCGGCGTTGGCTGGTGCATCTCTGCGGCAGCGCTAGCCCGCGCAAGCTCCCGCGCGAAGCGGCCAACTAGTTTGGCGCGACTGGCGCGGCCGCGGTGGCGCTGACCACTGGGCACGGCCGAACGGGCATTTGAGTGCGAGTCGGCGATCTGGGCGGGCACGGTGTCATGGCAACGCCGACAACGGTACACGCGATGATGATGATGATGATGATGTTGAGGATGAGGATGATGATGATGATGATGATGATGCTGATGATGATGATGGTGATGATGATGATAGCGATGCTAGTGGCGACGATGACAGCGACGACGGCAAGGCCAACGACGGCGGCAATGCTCATCACACCGACGACGATGACGGCGTCTTCGCGTCGATGATCACGATTTGGGGGGGAGCTCGACGTGCGCGCGCGACCGACGCGCGAGCGGGCCGCATGGTATTATTATCTGACACGGAACGTGCCCCCCCCCCCCCACCACACACACACAAAACGCGCGCAAGGGCGTTCGAATGATTTCGACATGCGGCGCGAGAGGCTGGTTTGGCAGAGCTGCTGTAATATGTCGATACATCTTTAGTTTCCCTCGGAATTCGCAGGAGCGCGAGCGCAAGCATTTTCGGAAACTGATGCTGGAAAACCATGTGCTTTCATATGTTTCAGGGCTATCAATTTTGACCCCCCCACGAAACGTAAGGTTTCTGACGGATGCTCGGCATGCGCGCGCGACGACGCGCGCGTGCGCACTTCGTCCAATGTGGTGCAAGGGAGTCTTGCGACAACACGCGCGCAAGGGCGTTCGAGCGATTTCGGCATGCGCGCGCGAGAGGCTCGTTTTATAGTATGCTGCGGACATGTTGAACGTCGCATGGTGCTCTTGAATATTCGTAAGAGTTCGAGCGCAAATTTTGTATTGTTATAGGTTTGGAGGGCGCTCCACTATGAACTCCTTACGAAAACTGGAGTTGTTTGAAGGGTTGCGGCATACGAACGCGACGACGCGCGCATGTGCAACGTTCCCCCAGTAGATGCAAGGGATTCCTGGAAGTGGTGATTCTTGATAAACGAATGCGTGCGCATAGAATTATTTGCAAAAGATGAGGGGGGGGGGAGAAACTGGCCTGCCCAAGATGGTACACATTCATGCTTACGATGGACGGTGGGGCAGAATCATGTATGACTTGCCATACGCAAAAGGATCCCGTTAATTCTGGGGACCAGGCCGGGCCCCTAAGTGCAAGCACTGCTTGGGGAACAAGCCTACCCTGCAGTGATGGCCAAATATCACCCGATTGGCTTCCAGACCGAATCCAGGCTGCTCCAAGTGGGCCCTGGCGGTCTAGCAGGCACCCTCTGGAGCCTCCGATGTCGCTCCAAGACGGCACAACGCCCGCCCGCGAGCCCACAGCAGCCCTCACAACCAAGGGCTCCCAACTTCGCGCTTCGCGCTGCGCGAAGCGCGAAGTGCGAATAACTTCGCGCTCTCGCGCCGCCTCCCAGGGGAGAAGAGGAGGATGAGGAATCGGAGCCGAATCGCGAAGCGCGAAAAACTTCGCGCCCTCGAGGGCGCCCTTGACGACACCCCAGGATCGCCCCCTGGGCACCTCAAGAGGCGCAAGAAGCTGTCGGACCTGGCGGCAAGACGCCCAGTCGCCCCTAAGCGGCCCCGAGAGTCCCCGAGGTTCGTCCTCGAGGGGCCCCGACATCGTGACACCCATGCAAAGCCAGGGCCGCACGAACGCTCGTGGCGGCCGCGCTTCGCACTGCTGGTGGCTGCGCACGCCAGTGCAACTGGATGCTCATACAAGTTGGCGCGCCTGGATATATGCTGCATGCTCGCACGCACGTTCCTGCCAGTCTGAGCCAACTCAAGACAGAGCGCTGGAACCACCGATCTTCTGAGCAGCTCCCAGCCGTCAGCGGTCTTTGGTCGTAGGACGAGTCGCTCATGGCCGCCGTTTGGGGCGCATCCAGCGTCGCCACGAAGCTCTTGACGATGCCAAACATTCCCAGGACACGTTTGTCAGCGTGGACCCAAAAATAGTAGTTACGACATACACAATGTGAAGTATATGAAGTGAAAGATGTGAATGGTACAGCTTATGCGGCCAACTGTGTAGGTACAGTCTCTGCGATGATGTAACCCATGTGGTGCAACGTTGGATTCAACATTTTGTGTGGTGCAAGATGTGGGGGCAATCTATGCGGTGCATCTTTCGTGGCAAGCATAACATGGCGCAATTCATGTCGTGCAACGACAAAACGAGCACGAACTGGATACTCGGCGAAAATACGGAACCGTCAGCCACCGCCCAGGGCGCGCACTGGGGAAACCAAAAGGTAGCTCGCTAGCGATAACACTACTCCCCCCGGACCTCTCCCAGGGTGCGCTGTGACCAGGATGTCGAGGCGAATCCAGCGGTGGCGACGAGGGCCTCCCAGCGAGGAACAGGTGGAGGCATGGGTACCTTCTCCTCCTCTGGCGCACGGGCGAAAACCCGAACCGCAAGCCCGCGCACGGGGCGAGCACGAGGCGGGCACGGGGCGAGCACAACCGCAGGGGCCCCAGGACCCACCAATACGTAGACACAAATGACAGGATTCCTCTATGCTTCTTCCCACCTTTCCTGGGTTCGTGTCTTCCCCCCAATGTGTCCCATCTATCCCCTATCTGTCCCCAATATGTTTCCCATGCCTTTTCCCGTTTATCCCAATCTATCCTGCTTTTTGTATTTCTTTTCCCCATGCTTTTCCCATCCATCCCCTCTCTTCTGGGGACGCGACGATCCATTCAGTCTGTGTCCTTTCTCGGCTACACGCAAGAGTGACCCTGGGTAAGAAAGACCTTTGGTGCGCGACTTTTTGGGGGCCACGGGGGGACCAAACCTGAGCGCACAAGCAGCTGCTACTGCTTCGTTTTCAGCCATCTGGGGACCCATCTGTGCCCGCACCAAAGGTCACTCCGGCGAAAGGTCACTCTTACGACTAGTCGAGTTTCTCCTTCCTGCAACACTCCCGGGGCCGCCGGCCCGCGCACTGGCAGGGCCCGCAAGCGGGCGCGCGGGCGGGCCGGTGCAGGCGGCGGGCAGCGGCCGGGGCCACGGGCAGGTCCCCCGAGGGGCGCGGGCAGGCGACGCCCGGGGGCGCCAGGCGAGAGCCCCTCGCGGCGGAGGCGGCGGCGCTGGGGGAGCAGAGCCCCCAAGAGGAGACGACCGACGGGATGGGCCCGTTTTCCACCACCACCACCCCAAGTTGGAGTGGGGAGGGAGGAGGACGACGAGGAGGAGGACGAGAAGGAGGAGGAGGAGGAGGAGGAGGAGCAGGAGGAGGAGGTCCAAGAGTAGGAAGACGAAGCGGAGGAAGAGGAGGAGGAGGAGGAGGAGGAGGTCGAAGAGGAGGAGGAGGAGGAGGAGGAGGACGAAGAGGAGGAGGAGGAGGAGGAGGAGGAGGAGGTCGAGGAGGAGGAGGAGGACCCCCTCCCCCTCCAACAGATGGTGGCGGCGGTGGAAAACGGGATCATCATGACAAGGTCTGGCAGGGAAGGCTTCTTTGCCTCTTCCCGGCGCCTGGATGGAGGGGATGCGGGTCGAGCCGCCCACAAGGACTATCTCGTTGATGTCCGAAGCAGAGACCTTCGCGTCCCTCATGGCATTCTCCACCGGGGCCTCAGAGCTTAGCAAGGTCGCGCGCAGGGCATTGCTCTACCTCCCTATCCAAACTCCACCCCAAATGCTGAGCATAAACGACTGCAACGTTATCCTTGCCTTTTCTATCCCACCTCCGTCCTGCGCCTTTTCTCGACTCTTAGTCGACTGGGCCGCTACAGTCGGGCTGCTGCAACAAGGAACGGCAACTAAGGAACGAGGCTCCGTTTTGGCCCCACCAGCGCCTTTGTGCACGAGGAGGGCTAGAGAAACAGTCAGGGAGGAGGAGGAGGAGGAGGAGGAGGAGGAGGAGGAGGAGGAGGAGGAGGCTTGTCCGAACTGTCCTCCCCTCTCCACGCTCCCCCCCTCCCTGCCTTCGCCCACGCTCCAGTCCTCCTCACAGCTCCTCCCCTCCTCCAAGCTGCCTCACTGCTGCCACCTCCTGCTTGCCCTCTCTCTCTCTCTCGTCGCCCCCTCGCCTCCGTGGCGGCTGGGGAGGTGCCGTGCGGTCAGGCAGGTGAAGGGGCCGAGAGAGGGGAAGAAGGACGGAAGACTGGAAGGGGGGAATGACGGATTGCAAAAAAAACGAAGGATTGCAAAAAAAAAAACAAGGATTGCAACAAAAAAAACCAAGGATTGCAAAACCAAGGGTTTTTTTTTTTGTTGTTGCAATCCTTCGTGGAAGGGAGCGAGGCCTTGCAGCGATTGATCAGGGTGCCCGCGATCTGCTCGAACTTCGCCCTCGACAGCGTCTCCTCGATGTGCTTCGGGCCGGTGGCGTCCGCTGTGATGAACGGCAGGGACACCTTCGGGGGACACCTGTATTCTTGCTGCATCTTGGGCTGTGCCTTCGATCGATTGCAAAAAAAACCCAGGATTGCAAAAAAAAAAAAAAACCTGGATTGCAAAAAAAAATGCAATCTCAACGAAGGATTGCAAAAAAAAACCGAACGAAGGATTGCAAAAAAAACCTTTTTGCAATCCCTCGCATCCTTCCCCATCGCACCCTTTTCCTGGTCTCCACAGACGGCTGGGACACCTTCGGGGGGATACCTTTTACTGCTGCTCCCCCTGGGGCTGTGCCCTCGATGTTCCTCGCATCCTTCCCCTCGCACCTTCTTCTCGGTCTCCGGAGTCGTGCCACATTCTGTTGCCCTCGGGGGCGGCGGGCGTCGACCCTGGAAGAGAGCTCACGAGGTCCAGGGGGTCCGGGGAGGCGCCGAGATGGCGGTGGAGCTGCGCTGGGGGGGGGTCACTGGCTGCACTCCTTTGCACTATGAGTTGCATGTGTTGGGATGCGTACGCATCTCTATGCATTAGCCAGGGTTTGGTGGGATCTGCTCCAATGTGCCGGCGCTTACCAGGCGCATTCTTCCGAGCATTGCGTTTGCAGATTTGCTCACGCCTGTGGATTCGAAGGGATCTACGCCCCAATGCGCCATGACTGGCGATAACTTGTATGATACTGCACATTCGCCGGGATGTTGCACACATGGGCTCGGTCGCATGAGTTTTCCACAGGCTACAAGGCCCAAAAGAGGCAAACCTCATTAATGTTCCTTGTGTGTGTGTGTGTGTGTGTCGATGTGTGTTGGCGTTCTCGCGTTTTCGGGGTTCCGACGCTCCAAGATGGCCCCTGCGGCCTCCAGACCGCCCCAAGACGGCCCAAGAGGCCCCTGAGAGGGCCCCAAGACGGTCCACAAGAGCCAAAAAACAGCGCAAGAGATGCTTAACATTGCTCAAGAAGGCCCCAAGACGGCCCCAAGAGGGGAAACACGAACCGACAATTCGAGGCTTCCGCCCCAAAAGGCTGCCAGAAGGCTCCAAGAGGCCCCTAAGAGAGCCCAAGGGGACCCTAGAGGCCCCAAGAGGCCCTTAAAAAAACAAAGAAATATGCCCACAGGGGCCCCAAAACGGCCCCCAAGAGGCCCCCGAGAGGCCTCCCACGATATCCAAACGAACATCCAAGAAGCCTCTCACCCACAACCCAGGCACGGTGTCGGGATGGGCGAAAGTCACTGGATATGTGTCACTCCTGTTTTTTTTTATCTTCCCGTGTCTATACATACATACATACATGCATGCATGCATGCATACCTACCTACCTACCTACCTCCCTGCCTGCCGACATACATACATACATACATACATACATACATACATACATACATACATACATACATACAAGCGTACATACATACATACATACATACATACATACATACATACATACATACATACATACATACATACATACATACATACATACATACATACATACATACATACACACACATACATACATACATACATACATACATACATACATACATGCATATATACATACATACACATACATACATACTTACATACATACACACACATACATACATACATACAGGCATGCATGCATGCATGCATGCATACATACATACGTACGCACCTACATACATCCATGCATACATACATACATACATACATGCATGCATGCATGCATGCATGCATGCATGCATACATACATACATACATACATACATACATACATACATAAATATGTATGAATGTATGTATGTACATATGTACATTTACGTACGCATACACACGTACATACATACATACACGCAGTCTCTGCATGCCCCTCTCTCTCTGTTTCGCCTCTCTCATTCGCTATGCATCATACTTGGTTTCTTTTCTCGCCTTCTCTCTCTCTCTCTGTCTCTTGCCCTCTCTCTCTCTATTTCTGAGGTTGGGGGGTGAGATCGCACTGACATGGAGACCTCCCACCCGGAAATCGGTTTCGGATTCGCGTTCGTGTCGTGCGTCCGGGCGAGGCGAACCTGCGTAGGCGGGTGAGAGGAATGAATTCGCTGTTGCCAGGACGAAGCCGAGCCAAACATTGCTGCCGCCCAGGTTAGCCAGCAATGGCCCTGTGGTGTCCCGATGGTGTCCCGAGGGTATCCCGATGGTGTCCAAATGGTGTCCCGATAAAGTCCCATGGTGTCCACTGGCGTCCCGTGCTCGGTGGTCCCGTGCTATGCTGTATGCTATGCTATGTTATGCTAGCGATAGTGAGAGCGATTGTGAGATCGAGTGTAAAATCCATTGGGTGAGATCGAACGTGAGATCGATCGTGCAATCGACCGTGAAATATATCGTGACAATGGCATCGATAGAGTAAGATCGATAGCAAGATCGATAGTGGGATCGATCGAGGAAGTCGATCGATTGCTATCGATCGTGAGATCGATAGCAAGATCGACAGTGATATCGATAGTGAGACCGATAGTGGTAAGTATCGATTGAATGGGATCCATAGTGAAATCGTTAGTGAGATCGTTCGTGCTCGATAGTGAGATCGATGGAGAGATCGATTTCGTCAGAACGATAGTGAGATCGAAAGGGATATAAATAGTGATATCGGCAGTGAGATCGGTTGAGTGGCATCCACAAGGATATGTATACTGACACCAATAATGTCATCGATCAGGAGATTGTGGCATCGATCGTGAGATCGTTCGTGAGATCGTAGTGAAACGATCGTGGCATCGATCGTGAGATCATTCGTGACATCGATCGTGAGATCGATGTTGAGATCGATAGTGATACAGTGTTATCGATAGTGAGATCGATAGTGAGATCGATAATGAGATCGAGAATGAGATCAATTGAGTGAGCTGGTTGGTAAGATCGATAATTATATCGATAGCGAGATCGACTGGGAACCCGAGAACCCGGGAACCAGAATCTGGAAACTTGTGAACCTCGCCGTCCACCGAAATCGGCCCGGAACCAACAACAAGGACCTGGGGAACCCGGAACCGGGAACCCAGACCCGGCCGCCCACCGAAATCGGCCAAGAACTTTCGCCACATCTTCTCCGCTAGGACCCCTTCAGTGCAAGCGCTGATTGGGGAATCTCCGCTAGGACCCCATCAGTGCAAGCACTGATTGGGAAACTTTGCTTCCGCTTACCACGCACACGTTTTCGATAATTGCGTTTGTTTGGGCTTGCGTGGGTTTTCTCATGTGCCTACCCCTGGACTTGCAATATAGAGCCCCGCTTCAAATTCTTCTGACGCCCTGCTGGCACTCTTGTCTTCTCGCAATTCTCGAACAGGCGCGGTGGCCACCCGCTCCCACTCGGGGTTGCTCAAGGTTCCCCTGGCCCGAGGTGCCCCCACCTTTTCGCTGCTTTTTGGGAACCCTGGGGCCCCCTGGACCTCGTACAGGATTCTCTGGCGGCCGTGGGGGCCTCCTTGGAAATCCTGGGGGCACCTCGGGCCAGGGCTCCTCCTCCTCCTCCTCCTCCTCCTCCTCCTCCTCCTCCTCCTCCTCCTCCCCCTCCTCCCCCTCCTGCTCCTCCTCCTCCCCCGCCCCTCCTTCCTCCTCCTCCTCCTCCGCCTCCTCCTGGGATTGTCGCTCGGCGCCGGCGCTGTGCTCTCCCTCGCGCCCTGTCGAGCACGCTGCGCCCCGAGCACGGCCCACGGTGCGCCCCAGACCGCTCCAGACGCACTCCGCGATCGCCCCCGCCCGAGGAGCCCGGTGCCCGTCGGCGTCGGCGTCGTCGTTTGCGTCGTCGGCGTCGTCGGCGGCGCCGTCGTCGTTGACGTCTTCGTAGTCGTTGGAGTTAGATCGGGCCTGTCCCCCTACAGGGGGATTTTGAACGAGGAAAAATTAAAACATGTCAAAACAAATATTTAAAAATACTCAGAACTTGTCAAACCATCGTCCCCTGACCATTTTTAAAACTATTTCTGAATATTCCCCCTGTAGAGGGACAGGCCCGCCTGAACGTTGGAGTCGTCGGGGACGACGGAGGGCCCATGTCAACTTCACGATTCGTCCCAGACCGCTCCAGGTGCCTTCTGCGCGTGCCTGGTCGAGGAGGGTGAGCCCAAGGTCCATGTCCGCCGACCCTTCGGCGTGTGTGAGACGATGTTGTGTCGTCGTCATCGCCAGTCCGAAGAGAACTGAGGAACGACCATGAGCCGATTCCCTTCCCCCCTTTCTCCCTTCCCTGACGAGAGGGGGGGTATGGAAGGGGGGGGTGTAGGGGAGGGGGTGCGGGGAGGGCGGGTCCCAGGTCAGATCACTGCCCCCCGGAGGGGTGGTCACACCTGTGGCCGCGGCCGTGGCCGTGGCCGTGGCCACGGACCCGGCCCTGACCCCAAGCACCCGCCCCGTCGTTCTGGGTGGAGGGGGGGAAAGGCCCGGGGTCCCGTGGGAGGTCCGGCCCATGGGGTCGGCGGCACCGGCCGTAAGGCCTTCTCAATGATGGGGACCGTCAGGGCCCCCATGACGGCCCAGGGGAGCCCCAAGAGGACCCTCAGAGGCGTCCAAAAGGGAAGATACGAATTGGCGTGTCGAGCACTTCTGCCCAAGATGGCCCACGAGACCCCCGACGCCCCCGAGGCGCCGACAAGAGGCCACAAGAGGCCTCCGAGGCGTCCTTCAGAAGCCTCCGAAAGGGCCCCAGGAAGGTCCACGAGGCGCCCTCCACATGTCCCCAAGAACCCTCGAAGAGGCCCCTGAAAAGGGTCTCCGCGAAACACTCGTACGCATCTAAGAAGCTGCCCCTGGCCCACTAGATAACTTCCAAGATCGTCGCAAGCTCTCGCTCATTCTGAGGGGTCGGCGAAATGGCGTAAGCCACTTGAGTACAGGGAAATATCAGGTCCATCAAAGTGTACGAGGAGCGGGAAGCATGACTAGGACCTGCACACCTTCGCCACTCCAGGCCTCGCACGTCCAGTTATGTGGAACCCGCAGGAAGTCATCACAAGTCAGAACTTCCCAGCCCCACGAATGATGTGCGTGCCATTATGTGCCTCGTTCGGGAACTTACGACCAAGACGCCCAAGATGGCCCAAGACGGCGCAAGAGGCCTCCAAGACGGCCCGACGAGCACCCCCCTTGGAGGCACCAAGACGCAAATTAATGCTGATGTCCTTGCGCTTGAAAATCAGAATGTTCTCACCTCGTCAATATTCCAATGCTCCCAGGCGGCCAAAGAGAGCCCCAAATCGACCGAAGACGGCTCAAGGGGCGAAAAAGAAGGCCTCAAAAGGGCCCAAGAAGGCCCCAAGACGGCCACAACGACTGCTCGACCTTGGAGGGGAGAACCGCAATCGAATCCCACTTTCTTTGATCGACTGCCTTCAAGGTGGCCCCAAGGGCGCACCCAAGGCCCCTAAGATTGCCCATGTCGGGTCCCAATAGAGCCCCCAAAGCATCCAAAATGACAACATGAGGGCCTCGCGATAGCCCTGGGGTGCCTCCAAGAGGCCTCCACAGCGTGGTTGCGTGCTGCTACACATCTTGATCGGGGCAACTTCCTGGTGACTGTTTTTGGATGGGCTGATGGGCATACTTTTTGTCGCAGCCGCAAGCGAAAGCGCAGGCGGCGTCAAACGGCACGGGCGGGCCGCGCGCGAACTTAATTGCCTAACGCGCCAGCAAACAGAGACCAAGGCGGCACCTCAGATCACCGGAAGCGGGAGGTGGTGCGGGCTGCAGCTGCCAGGAACCAGGTCCGGGAGCGAGAATATGCAAATTAGCCAACCGATGTTGGGGCGCAGCCAAAATGGCGCGGGAGCGATACCAGGATGAAGCCAGGAGCGCCATCACGCTGATGGGCATATGCGAAGCGTCAATAGTGACAAAATGCGGGCAGGAGGATGATTCGCTACTGCCGACAGCCACAAGCCACCAACAGTACAATGAAATTCGACGCGGATACCTGTATCTGTGCATCTCCTTGCCTCACATTCCCGGTGTGAGCATCTGGGTAAGAGAGTCTCAGCCTGTTGCAACTGAGCGCTCCCTAGCGGCTCCCCTGTTGAGTGTCCAAATGCTGAACTTGCAGCATAGGGGTGATCTTCAGGACTCCAGACGGGGAGGAGCAAGGAGTGCCCAACCAACGTTTCGCTTGAAACGTCCCCCCGATCCGGCCGCGAACCTGCACGTGTAACGCCCCTTGGCGTCTCCCCCTTGGGGTACCCAAGTGTGATGCCTGCTACATCGCGTTGATCATGGAGCCCTGAAAGAGGGGGAGTCGGAGGTGCAGCACGAGCGCCTCGCTCGAGACATCCCCACCATCAGGTAGCGAACGGGCAAGCGCAACACACCCTGGTGGCTGCCCCCGGGGGTGCCCAAGCGCTTTGATCATTGGCAAATCTGGGTATGAGATGCGCATACATACGAGTACGTTTGAACGTGAAAGACCCGGTGTGACAAGTCCGAATGTGAGCCGGAACTTGAGTTTGTGGTCTGTGCTTCGAGTCTGGGTACTGTGACGAAGACGAGTACGAGTGGACCTGAGTGTGAGTGGTCTCAATAGAAGTGAGTCTGAGCATCAGTGGATCAGAGTGCATGTCTGGCCTGAGTCTGAATATAAAACAATGAAACAATGAATGTGGGTGAGTCTGAGTGTGAATGTCTCTGAGTATGAGTGGATCTGTATACCAGGGAGCCTGGCTTTGTGCGCGTGAGTCTGAGTGTGAGTGGACATGAGTATGGTCGACTCTGAGTATGGACGGTTCAAGTTGTGCCTTGTTCGGAGTGTGTGTGGGCCTAAGTGCGAGAAGCTGAATATGAGTTGGTGGCAGAATGCGGAAGTGAGACTGAGGCGGAGAGGTCCATCTAATCACAGTAACCTAATTTTTGGGGCATGGGACCATGATTGGAGACCTGTATTGGAAGGAGAGAGGGAACAAGGGAGTGGAGATGAGGGAACCCTTCCCCTTCAGCCTGCCTGTCCCCCCTCGCGGGAGCTCGACGAAGCCCTCCACAAATCCCCGAAAGCCGCTTTCCAGCATTGTCAGTATCCCCGGCCTTGGCCTCTTGCACTCCGGACAGCTCGACCTTTGCCTTCTCAGCCGCCTCGGTCAAGCGCTGCAAGGCCTGCTTGTCCTGCAACAAATCGATGCCCTCGGCCTTCTTGAAGCCATCTGCCAACCAATCGACAATGACCTCATCCCGTGCTGGCCGTACCAAACACAGGGCAAGGGTGAAAACCCTCATACGTACACACATACACACAAGCTTACCACCGCAGGCAGGAGCCAGCGACTGGGCTTCACGATGCAAATGCAGGCAGGGAAGACGAGAGGAAAGCGAGGGAGAGCGGGGCGGTCAGCGGGCCGATCATCAGCGCCACCGAACACACACACAAACACTTGTCGGCGTCGCAGCCACGCGCGAAACGAACGAAATAGTCAGGCAAGAATCCAAGAGGAGCCCAAACACACACGCACACAAACACACACACACACGCACACAACAACAACAACAACAACAACAACAACAACAACAACAACAACAACAACAACAACAACAACAACAACAACAACAACAGCAACAACAACAACAACAACAGCTGCAGCAACAACAACAACAGCAACAGCAACAGAAACAGAAACAGCAACAGCAACACCAACAGCTACCACAGCGCACCAACAACCAACAACGACAACAATACTATCAACAACACCAACACCAACACCAACAACCAACAACGACAACAATAACAATAACGACAATAATAACACTAACACCAACATCACCAACAAAAACAATCAATTTAAGACTGTTCGCTCTTGCCTGCTCGCCTGTAACTCAACACGTGTATCCCAAAGCCTCGAGGCCCGCCTTCTTCGTCTTCGATCGTACCCCCATCGGGGGTATATCTGTCTTGCCTGCAACGTGCAATTCATGCAGCCCCTGAGGCAGGGGAGGAGAGGACGGCTGTAAGGAAGGTACCAGGGGGAGGGTGCAGGATGGAGCACGAGAGAGAGAGAGTACTTAGCAGGAGGGGGGCTCGGAACAGAAAACACATGGCAGAACCAGACGGGCGGGTCGGGAAGGCGGAACCAGGCGGCCAGGTCGAGCAAGCGGGTTGCTGAAACGTGCGTCATGCATGAATCGCGAAAAAATCTCGAGCGATAGCACGATCCTCTCATACATCGTCCAGAAATCCAAAGCGAGAGCGTGACTCCTGAGTGTCGGGGGCGCGGCGTTTGAATAAATGGCGAGAAGTCCCACGCGAGAGCGTGATTCCGGTATAACTTGGGAGGATCTCCCGCGCGAGAACCTGATTTATCAATAACTTGTGAGAAGGTGTCAGGCGGGAGCCGTTGTTGTTGCAACTCGGGGGCCGGGGGCGCAATTTAACGCTCAACACTTTCCTTAATAAAAACAAGGGGCGAGCCACAAGAGGAGCAATTCAGTTGAAACATACAATGTGCACTGGGCGGGAGGATCAACAATACTTATTCATCAGACATGAGAGATCAGCAAGAACACCAACATTAGCAATAACCACAACAGCAATGATAGGGGCAACAATGGTAACAACATCAACAAGCACACCAAACACAACAACCACAACGCAAACAGCAGCAGCAACAACAACCACCACAACATTAACAATGACAACAACAACAACAACAACAATTACTAGCACGTGGGGACACACCGTTCTCACCAGTGCCAGGGTTTTCATAGGAGGCGGGCAATACCCCCACTTTGTGGGGGGGCCGGTTCAAGCTCTACCAAATTTCCAAACGACTCTTCGCCACCACCCACACCCAGCTTCCCGCCCTATGACGTTCGGACACTTCACTTCGTGGCATGCGGACGACCGTGGCTACTATTCAGGGCCCCGCGGCCGACGACGACGGCGTGCGCGCGCGAAGAAAAAACGAATGTGTCCCGCATGGTATTATTTGACAGGGATGATGGCCCTGGCAGGTGCGCAACCGTTGTTGCAGAAGTTCGAAAAAGTTGCTCGCAAAAGCCCGTTTGACAGAAATGATTAAAAAGTGTTGGGTTTCCTACGAATCCGCAAGAGCGCGCGGGATGAAATTTTGACAATTTTGTTTTGAAAAACCATTGGTTTTTTGATGTTTGTATGTTAAAATCGCTACGAAAACTAAGGTTTTGGAAGGATTTCGTCTTGCGCGCGCGAATGTCCACTTTACCTTATTTTTTGCAAGGGATTCTTGAAGTTTGGTTATGTTAGAACAAGAAATGTCCACTTTAGCTTATTTTTTGCAAGGGAAAACCGATCGTAACAACACAACCGGATCCGGACCAACCCGTTTTGCCTGAGACTTCCTCACGAAAATGATGAAAATGAGGCTGCGGCCTAGGCGCGGCGGGGGGGTCGTGCACCAGGGGTCCCAACAATAATTATTCTTTAGAAGTAATAATGTTCAACAGCATCAACAACAAACGCTCACAGCATACCCGATGCAGCAAGGGCATGCCGAACTTCAACCCAACGGACAAAGATAACAGAATCGCAAAAATACTGGATGGTGGACATGAAAGAACAAACACATATCCTTTTGGAGGTCCGAGTGGACTTCTTGACTCGGCGCCGGACCGAAGCGCGGAAGAGGCAACACCAGAGCAGCCGACTGGGGAGCCCAGCGCCGACCGAGGAAGTCCGAGCGGAGCTCTGGACGTAGTGAGCGTTTTCTGTTTCGGCACCTCGACATCGGGCAGAAGGGGAGGGGAGGGGAGGGGTAACGGTAGGGGGGGGATAGGGATAGGGGGGGAAGATCGACCTGGAATCGGCGATACATCGCCGGTAGATCGGCGATGGGCCTCCAATAGCGAATCAGCACCATCCTGGGCAGGTTGGGGCTATCGGGCCCCTATGGGCGATCAATTGGCGATTGGGGATCTATGTGTCCCCCCTATGCTTATCCCCCGGCGGTGGACAAACCTCCCTGTAGTAAACCTCCTCTTTGGGAAAGCGGCCTAGGACCGAAACCGACGGACCAGGACCCGCAAAAATGACGGCCGCGACGCCCTCTCGCGAACCGGAAACGGCCAATTCCTGAATCGACGTTTCAGGGTAGGAGGTCTATCCACCCCCCCCCTACCGTTGCCCTCGAGGAGGGGGAGAGGGAACTGGCTCCGGGCCTCTGCTCAATGCGACTGTCTGCAGCAGTGCGTCCCGCGGGGGGGAGGCCCCACCTGCTTGAAACAGGCGCTCAAAACAGCCAAGATCTACAGTCGGCCTTGATTAGTAGGTCGACCCTGCCAAGACAAGGGTCTCCTTGTGTCCTGTCTTTGGAGACGCGTGTCGGTTGCATTCTTATGGCAGTCCTCTCGCGTGTCCTCCCCAATCAAGCCTGACTGTACTCCACGAGGGGGCGGGGGCAGCGGGGGTGCGAGGGCCCGCCCCGATCGGCAAAATTATACACAAGAAAACGGTCGCACACCGACCAGCCATGACTGGGGGAGCTGTGGTCCTTACCCCCCTGGGGGAACCCATCGCCTCGACGGTCTCTCGAGAGGGGGGTCGAAATCGATGGGTCCCCCAGGGGGGTAAGGACCACAGCTCCCCCAGTTGTGGCTGGCCTGACATATATGTGTATGCCGTTTTTCGCTGTTCGAGAATGCCGCTTCCCCTGGGGGCCAGTCGTCGCCACGGGTCAGGTTTGTTGACCGCCCTGGAGCCCACAAGCTCGTCATCAGTCCCACCACCCCATCTGGGGTGTGGGTGGCGTTTGGGGTCCGTTGTACCTTCTTCTTCCCCTTCGGGGATACAGTATTCGGCCTGACCTAAGGAACGATAAATAAGGAACGAAGCCCATTTTCTTCCGAGTAAGTCTAAGAGGTCCGAAGGAACACCAGGGGGGCTCGCCCACAAGAAGGTGGCGGAACGCGTGCAAACCCAGGAAACGACCAAGCCGCTGTTTTCAAGGCAGGTGTTCCTTATTCAAGCCGGAGCCTGTAGCTCAATACTCAATTTACTCAATACGATGACTCAACATGGGTAATCCAGATTTCGCAATAAAGGGAGTGGGGTCTCATTTCGGGGGGGGTCTTTTCCAAGCTATCTTGGAGGGCCTGGGGGGGACGATGTTTTGGAAGGTTCTCCCACGGGGGAGGTCTGAAATGGCTTGTCGTGGAGGGTCCAGACCCCCTCCCTTTTATTACGAAATCTGGAGTACTCAATCTACTCCATACGATGACTCAACATGGGTACTGCCCTCCTCTCCCCCCCAAAAGGCACGCCGAGAGTCGTGCGCGCGCCCCCTCCGCGCACGGTGCTCTCGGACGCAAGACTGGTCCGAATGGACGTTCTGCACGCCATGCCCCCAAGCCGTGCCTGCCCTCAGGGGTGTCCCGCCCCTCTTGCCCCCCGCCTCCTCCTCCTCCCCCTCCTCCCCCTCCTCCCCCTCCTCCTCCTCCTCCTCCTCCTCCTCCTCCTCCTCCTCCGCCCCTGGGCGCGTCTGCGGGCCCGTTGCCGCCCCGTTCCCGTCCGCTGCCGCCCCCCTCTGCCACTCTGCCACCGCTCGGACGCCCACTCCCCGCGCAGTGCTCGGTTTCGCCACTTCGCCACCGCTCGGACGTCCACTTCCCGTGCAGTGTTCGGTGTCGTGCGTGTCTTTTGCTGCGCAAGGGTTCAGGATGGTCCTCGATGGTTCTCGCCGAGGAAAAAATGCACGCGTCCGAGCGATGCCAGGGCCAAACTGAAGGCGGGGCTGCGGGCCCAGCTTCCCCCCTTCCTGTCCGTCGCGGCCGCCCCGCTGCACCCTCGCCCGTCGCATGGCAATGGCACTGCATTGACCTGCTCTGCATTACTTTGCAGTCGCATTATTTTGCAATCACATTCTACCACACTGGCATTGCATTGCGTGCATTCTACTTTGTAATCGCATTGCAATCGTATTGCATCGCGTTGCGATCGCATTTCATTGAAAGCGCAATGCATGGCAATCCGGTAACGTTGTATTTCGCATTGCATTGTGTTGCGTTGCATATCGTTGCATTGTCTTGCGTTGCTAGGCATTGCTGTGCAAAATTACATTGCGTTGCATTGCTTGGAATTGCTTTGCATTGCGTTGAATTCCTTTGTGCAGCGTTGCATTACACTGACATCACTTTGCTGTGAATTGCCGTCGCGCTGGCGTGTATTGGTTTGCATTACATTGCCTTCGGTTGTATCGGCTTGCCCAGCATCAGGTTGCATAACATTGCATCGTCGCGAACTGATGTTCAGCACTCTGCATCGCTTTGCATTGAGTTGCATGGTATTCACTGCGCTGCATTGCTTTGCATTGCTTTGCACTGCTGCGCATTACGGTGCACTGATTTGCGTTGCTATGCAGTAGGTTACAATCATCCTCGTTTCAAAGCTAATCCGCCGATCCTTCGGCGTGTGTGAGACGCTGTCGTCGTCTTTGTCTTTGTCGTCGTCGTCGCCAGTCCAACAAAAACCTAAAAGCGAACAAAAACCTAATTGAGTCGATTCCTTCCCCTTTTTCCCTTCCTGACGGGGGGGGGTTAGGAAGGGGGTTAGGGGGGGTACGGGGGGGTCAGGACACCCTCCCCGCCCGCAGGCCGTCTCGCTCACTCCCACCTCCGGCCAGAACATCTGGGTGGGCTGTTTTTTTTTTTTTTTTTTTTTTTTTTTTTTTTATTTTATTTATATATATATAATATATATATATATATATATATATATATATATATATATATATATACCGCCGCAGGCGGAAGCGCCAGCGGCGGGCGGTCGCGGGCGGGCTACGGCCGCGACTAGCGGCGGGCGCGCGCGGGGCCGCGGTCAGGCGGCACGCAGCAGCTACCCAGGGCGTCTGAGCCAAGGCGTACAAATCCAGGGAGTCTGCAGGGCAGCCCCTGAACGAGACATGCAACGGCGCATCCAGGGAGTCTGAAGACAGGCACCGAGGAAACCGAGCGCAGCCAAAATGGCGCGTAAGACGGCTGGTGGGGGTACACGGAGCGTCAAGAATGCCACCGTCCCTCCACACACGCTCACAGAAGACCGAGAGGGAGGTCAGCGCGGGACAGCGCGCGCACGCCCAACTCGTCCGAGGGCGCTTCTGCAGGCAGCCCTGCCGCAGGACCGTCCTCGCCCGCTCCTTCCGCGGCCCACCAGAGGGCCACCGCAGGCAAAAAATCCGCCGATCCGGAGTGTGAGTTTCTGAGAGCGTGGACTTGAGCTCGCTCAAGCTTCGCTCTGCAGGGGGGGTGGGGCCGTACGTTATTTCCGACGTCATCTCCGACGTTTTTCGGTACACGGGGATACTTCCGAAGTCATTTCCGACGTTTTTCCGTACCCGGGGACAGGGGGGTGTAGAAAACTCCGCTTCCGGAGCCGCCCCCGGATCGGCGGCACCGGCCGGAGGCCAGCCCAATATTGTTCGGGACCGGGCGCGAGTCGTGCCAAAGTCGTCTCCTCCCGAATGGATGTCGCCGTTCCTGGACACCGATGACTCCCAACCCACTCCCGGGGTCCGTTCTGGCCAGAATCCCACCAGCCCTCTGGGCGTCGATGGTTTAGAGCGTTTCCTCTTCCACCCCTCCTTCTTCCCTTTCGGGGAGGGGTTTACCCCTCCCCCTACCCCCCCCCCCACTGACCTGGACAGGGGGTTCCGCGGCGCGTTGGAGCGTCCAAGACGGCCCAACACGGCTCCAAGAGGGCCTCAGGGAGCTCAAGATGACCTCCAAGATGGCTCAAGATAGCGCAAGATGCCTCAAGATGGTCCCCATGATGTTCCAAGACGCTCCAAGAACTCCCCCAGACGGTTCCAAGTGCCCACAAGAGCATCATTAGGATACATCCAAGAGGCCAAAATGCTTCAAAACCCTAGAGAAAATCAATGTTTTTGGTGTTCTCACTTTTTCGCTTGCGATGCACATCCGACGCGTCAAGATGGCTCCAAGATGGCTCAAGATAGCTCCAAGAGGGGCCCAAGAGAGCCTCAGGATGGCTCCAAGAGCGGCCACGAGCGCTCCAACAGCGATCCAAGAGGGGTCCAGGAAGCGATTTTTGGAGCTCCTGGGGGGGGGCTGTAATTAGGGAACCCCACTTCCTTGGCCGATGTCCTCCAAAAGCCGCAGGATGGCCCCAAGATGGCCCCAAGAGGCCCCCCAAGAGGCCCCCAGGAGGCCCCCAAGAGACCCCCAAGAGGCACCAAGAGACCCCCCAAGGGCACCCAAGGTGCTCCCAGAGGCCCCAAGATGGCCCCAAGAGGCCCCAAGAGGCCCCCAGGAGGCCACAAAGAGGATCCCGAACGGCCCACAGAGGCCCCCCCGAGGCACCCAAGACGCCGAAACGCCCCTCAGGACGACCCTCTACTCGCCTGGGCGTCGTTTCTGGACGGGCTGGTGGGGATACGCGAAGCGTCTAGAATTCCACAGGGAATCTGGCACTGGCCAAACAAGGGCTCTCAGTGAACCAAAACCTCGATTCTCCATCCCCGATCCCTCGATTCTGGTCGTGCTGATCCAGTGCGAGCCTTGTCGAAGTCGTCTCCTCCAAGGTGGGTGTCGCCGTTGGTGGAGAGCACCTCGCAGACGCCGTCGCCGACCTCCAGCACGGAGACGTCGAAGGTGCCTCCACCCAAGTCGAACACCATGATCGTCTCGTTGTTTTTCTTCTCGAGGCCTTTCTGGCAGCGAGAACCTCTTCCTTCTCATCATCCTTGCCTACTCCTATCCTCCTTATTCTTCTTATCTTCCTCCTCCTCCTCCTCCTCGTTCTACTCATCTTCCCCTCCCCCTCCATCCTCCCCCACTTCTCTGATTACTCCTCCCCCTCATTCCTCTCTCTCCTCATCCTCCCCCCCCTGCTCCTCCATGTCTTCCCTTTCTCTCTCCCTCCCTCCCCTCCTCCTACTTGCCTGGGCCACCTGATGCGTGTTCTTCATTCGCTGCTGCTGCTGCTCCTCCTCCTCCTCCTCCTCCGCCTCCTCCTCCTCTCCATGCTCCCTCGCGTCGTGAACAATCACGACGGACAAAATTTGGCAATGTGTCGGCCTCCGGGGGTCCGCACTGGGCCCTGGGGCTGTCAACCAAACGACTCGGGATACAGCTCGGCACGCGGAAGGGGTCAAGAGGCCGTGGGGCCCGTGGCTCGAACACTTTGTTTGTCGGCAGCGAGGTAGGTTCACCACGCGGTCAAGAAAACGGTGGGACGCATCCGTTTCCAGAATGTCACGCTTGGAAACAATCGAGACGCCGAATATGGAGGGACGAGCACGGCATAAACATAAACCTTTCGACAGTCCGCACGGATTTCTTGGATATGAGCTGGACCCAGCTCCCTGGCGCGCGGCGCGCGCCGGGGGCGGCGCTGGAGGCGCCGCCTGGGGTTCCCGGCACAGATCCCAGAAATCCCCGCGCACCGTCACAAAAACTTGCGTTAGTGCCGTCTGTTCCTCGAGAACCTACGACAACTCCTTCCAGGCTCGAGGGCAAGGGCCTTCCACCGCAGCTCCATCGTTCCTCGAAATTCAGGGCCTTGCTGAAACTCCCCATGTGGGGCCTTCATCCGTCCCGTCATACCCTCCCCCCTCCTCTCTTCCCGACGCCCCTCCCCTCCTCCTGCGTTGGCCCTTCTGCGGTCCGTCGGCCCCGGGACAAGGGCGATGGGGGGCAGCGCTCCACGAGGGCAGGAAAGGCTGCCCCCCCTCACGAACAGAGGAACCAATAATTGAAGGGGCCATGGGACACACAAATAAACACACACAAATAAAAAGATTCCCAATATTTTCGTATATGTTCTGGGTTTGTGTCTTCCCGCCCAATTCCCATATTTTCCTATATTTTCTTGGGGGGCGACGATTAATTGTGTCTGTGTTTTTTTTTCCTCTTGAGTAATGGCATGGCCAGAACCTCTCGACGGTCCGCGCGGATTCCTTGGATCTGCGCTGGACCCCCATGCCTGGCGCGCGGAAGCGCCGCCGGGGCGCGCCAGCGCAGGTCCAAGAGGGCACCGAGAACCCCATGCCCCAAGGGCACCGGAAGCCCCGACGAGGCGCCCAAGAGACCCTCCGAAGCGACACGCCACAACGGCCGGATCCCCAAGAGGTCGGCGGTGTGGCGTGAGCCCAAGAATCAAGCGCGGACCGTCGAACACGCATGGCTATGCCGATTTGTCTTCGGAGGAAGGCGGGGCGCCTCCTTAGCCGCGTCGCGCCCCACTGCGCCCCGCGGTGCGCAGTGCGCCGTCATGCTCGCGCCCTCGCGAGGCAGGCTCAGGCTCAGGCTGACAAGCTTAGGCTGAGGCCTAGGCTTCAGCTTAGGCTTAAACTTCGGCCTGGGCTTCGGCCTAGGCTGAAGCTTAGGCTTAGGCTCAAGCTTAAACTTCGGCTGAGGTCGAGGCTTTGGCTGTCCGGCTCAGGCTTCAGGTTGAGCGCAGGCTTGAAAGCTCAGACTGAGGTTTTAGCCATATGTTGGCCTCTTGGGGGGGGCACTGATATCCCAAGATGTCACATAATAGCTCCCACGATGCTACAAGATGCCCCAAAACTGCTCCAAGACGGCTCCCAGTGGCCAAAGAGCTCCCCCAGGAGGCCCCGAAGAGCTGAGGAAATTCTATGTGTTTGGTTTTCTCGCCTTTTCGCTTTCGATGGCCATCCGAGGCCTCAAGATGGCTCCAAAATGGCCCACGAGGGCTCCAAGAAAGACTCCAGAGGGCCCCAAGACGGCCCTAAGAGCGCCTAAGAGCGCCCCAGCGGCGCCCCAAAAGCGCCTCAAGAGCGCCCCAAGAGGCGATTGCTCGGCCTCCCGAGGGGCAGCGCTAACTAATGCTTGCTCTTTGTTTGATCGATGTCCCCCAAGATGGCCACAAGAGCACTCCCAACGCTCCAAAGAGCGCTTCAAGAGGGCCCCAAGACGCGCCCAGGAGGCCCCAACAGGCGCCCAAGAAGCCTCAAAGATGTTCCCAAGAGTTTCCCAATAGGCCCAAAGAAGCTCTCCGATGCACCCAAGACGCTCCAAGAGACCTCCAGTGGGGGACCCTTCCTCTGTGTGCTGCCCACTTCCCTGATCGAGGCACTTCCTCTGGGCATCGTTTCTGGATGGGTTGGTGGGGTTACTTTTTGGTCTGCGGCCGCGGGCGAGCGCGCCGGCGGCGGGTCCAATCAAAGAGGGGCACGCAGCGACGAATCAACGAAATCAATGGAGGGCGGCCACACCTACGAGCGGCGAGCCGGGGCCTCACGCAGCAGCTCAGCGGCGGACCGGCGAGTGGAGGGGACTCGTGGGGTTACTTGTTTGGTCGCGGCCGCGAGACAAGGGTCAGGCGGCGAAGGCAACGTCTGGGCCACGGGCGAGGCTAATTGGCTAGGACAGGAGCGTCGGCCGATGAAGCTCGTAGGGTTACTTTTTTGGTCGGCGGCCGCTCGACTACGGTCTGGCGGCGACAGGCGTGTCCGGGACGGCGGTGCGGGCAAATTGCACGCAGGGCGTGCGGCGCACGTGCACTGAGCAAAATGCTCCACGTTCGCAGTGACGCACCTCGGCGCCGCCCAATCCAGGGAGAACGAGCGAACCGTGGTGCGAGTGCTACGGAGGGAGTCGCCCTTGCGGCGCCAAGCTCCGAGCATCCCCAGACAAACAACTGGGACCAGCACGGGGGACCGGCTGCTGGCGGTGGAAAACAAGGGCCGTCGGCGCTTCAGGCTGGACCACTCAGCGCGCAGCCAACGTACACCACCTCAGAGTTGTTGGGGCTGGCGGCGACCGACGGACGAGTCGGCACCGGTGGAAAAAGGCCCGGCAGGTGCAAAAACGCGGGCGAGGCACCACTCAGGCAAGGCAACCCGTCACGGTCACCCCCACCTCGGTGGACACCGCCGACCTTCCGAGTGCCACAGTGCCGACCGGCTGCGAAAGGGCCCCTGCAGCCCACAGAGTGTGCCTTGGCGCGGAGAGGGTGGGCGCAGTTAGCCGCCGCAAGAGATACGTAACTGGATGGCAGCTGCACGCCGTGAGCGTATACACGTGTGGGGGGCGCAGCTAACCGCCGCAAAAGTCACGTAGAAAGAAAGGGGGGGTGGCCGAACTGTGCCAGTGCAGCCCGGGCTGGAGTGTGCCAGCGACGGACGCGCCACGTGGACGGCCATGTGCCGCAGCATTACGCAACAGAGCTGGAATTGCGCCTGTCAAAAAAAACCGGCTGAGCGGCGCGCAGGGAGACGGCAATTTCAGGCGACTGACCCCTGCTACCAGCAGCGGGCGGCTGTCCGGTGAACAGCAAAGGGCGGTGCGCTGGGGGGGTGCATCTACGGCCGCCCCCTGAGCACCGAAACGAGTGGCTGTCGCTGTATGACAGCAAAGCAGGTGCCCCTAGGCGGGTGAAACCTAGAGACGCGGCCTGAGGTAACACTCAGGCAGGGCAACGCGTCAAAGTAGCACACAGGCAAAGCGACCCGTCTCAGTGACTCACGCTTCGATGGATACCATCGACCCTCTGAGTGCCACAGTGTCGACCAGCTGCGAGGAGGTCCGTCCCAAGGCCCGCTGCGAGTGTGTGGGGCGATCCGTGGCTGGGACGTCCTCCAGGCCGCCAGCCCGCCTGGCCACCCGCTCAGGCTGGTGCAGCCGCCGCGGGCGAGCCATTTTGGCACAGTGGGGGACGTCCCCCAGGCCAGGCAGGCGGCGCCGCCCAGCACCGGCGGCCTGAGGCCGCGAAGTGAAGTGAGATTTGACGTGGAGGAGGGGGGCGCAGCTAACCGCCGCAAGAGTCACGCAACTTGGAAGCAGCTGCGCGCCGAGAGCATCTACACGTGTGGGGGGGGTGCAGCGAACCGCCGCAGGTGACACATCGAAGGATGGGGGGCGGCAGGACTGCGTCGATGCGGCCCGAGCTGGAGTGTGCCAGCGTCGGACGCGCCAAGTGGAAGGCCACGCGTCGTAGCCTTACGCAACAAGCTGGAGCTGCAAACTGCCGACGTACTGGCTGCGCGGCCTGCAGGGTCGCGACTATCTCGGGCGACTAGCCCCTGCTACCGGCAGCTGGCGGCTGTCAAGTGAAGAGCAAAGGGAAGCCTGGGAGAGTGCATCTACGGCTGTCCCCTGGCACCCAGATGGTGGCTGTCGCAGCGGGACAGCACAGCAGGCGCACCCAGGGGGGGTTCGGCCTGTGGGCTGGTCCCCATCTGTTAGAGGGGGGTGTGGTGACCGGCAAGTTCCACGTATCCAGTGTGGCTGTCTAGCATTGCTGCGCCAGGGGGTGAGATGACGGGAGACACCCGCCCCAGCGAGAGTTGCCCCAGGGTATTATGGCCGAGGCTAGGCGCTGCAGGGTGGGGTTGTTTTTTTGTTGGCGGCTCCCAGGCGAAGGTCAGGAAGCGGTGCATCGAACGGGGCGCAGAACGAAGATGATTAGCCGGAGAGGCGCATGCACATGCAACGGACAAAATGACCCAAATTAAACACCGTAGACCGACGCCGACATCCCGGCGGGCGGGGACGCCACGTCGGAACGTGCTGCGGCAACTGCGGAACAGCGTGGAGAAGGCGCACCAGCGGGCGGGGACGCCACGGCGCAGCGAGCGGCGGCAACGGCGGTGCGGCGAGCCGTGTGTACCGTAACAGCGGGGGGAAGTCGCCCTGTCGGCGCCAATCTCCGGCCGAACGACGGAAGCGGGCCGAGAGGGGGACAGAGTGGGGTTACGCGAAGCGTCTCGAATTTCTGTCTCCCCCGAGGACACAGAAAACTTCTTCAGCCTTCTGAGTAGGCCTTCCTTCTCCTTCTCACTCCCCCCCCGCTCGCCGCCGACTGTACACGGGCGCTTCAGGAACGCTCTGAGGAGCTGGGCAGATCTTGAAGCTGCACGGCAGGCTTGCGGGGGGCGGCCTTCGCTGGAAGGCAGGGGGGCGTCTCAGAAAGTGCGTGCACCCCTCAAAGGCCATGCCCTCCACGCCTTCCCTAGGGGAACGAACAATGACATAAACATAACAACTCGGAGGTCCGCGCGGATTTGTCGGATCGGCGGTCGACCCCCATCCCTGGCGCGCGGAGCGCGCCAGGGGCGGCGCCCCAGGCGCCGCCAGGGGGGTGCAGCGCGGATCCGAAAAATCCGCGCGGACCTCCGAGTTATGTATGTCATCGTTCGTTCCCCCATTCCCCTTGCCATCGCTCGGATGTCCATTTCTGGTGTCTTCTTCGATTTCGCGCGTCTGCTCTTCTGCAAGACGATCCGGGGGTGCTCCTCGAGGGTCCCCGCCGAGAACAAAGGCACACATCCGAGCAGCGATGCCACGCCAGAGGCTGGGCCCACCACACCTTCCAGGATTCGCGGGGAAGAGGGGGGAGGTTCCTGAGATCGACGAGCGCGTTCCACCACTCGCAGAGTAACGGCTCGCAAATGGCCTGGATCCCCCGCGGGGGATCTACGATGAATTACATCAAAGCAGACACGTGTTTATTTCGGACGTTTGCGAGTAGGCACTTTGCGAGTAGTTTTGACGCCCGAAATGCGTACGGAAAGAATGGGTACAATGCCCAACAACAAATGCTGTCCCAAACCACTAGCGGCCGCTGTTGGGCAGGCGGCTGTCTGTCTCGAATGGACAGGCCGCGGCGGCGCGGACAGCGAGTCCTGTTCAAGATGATCAGGAACTGCTGTTGGGCCTTGTACCCATTCTTTCTGTACCCATTTCGTTCGTGCAGAGTAGTGGACCGCGCTCGGCGATGAGAGGACGCGGCTCCCGAGGGCGCCCACCACAGGGGAACAAAAGGTGACATAAACATAAAAACTCGGAGGTCCGCGCGGATTTCTCGGATCGGCGCTAGACCCCCCTCCCTGGCGCGCGGAGCGCGCCAAGGGCGGCGCCGGAGGCGCCGCCGGGGGGCCCCAGCGCCGATCCGAGAAAAATTCGCGCGGACCTCCGAGTTTTCATGTTTATGCCACTTTTTGTTCCCCTACCCCAGGGCCCCACCCACCCTCTTCCCTGCCGCCCCGGGAGGCCGTAGGCCAGGGAGGCCGCGGTGGGCTCGTTCACGATGCGCAGCACCTCCAGGCCCGCGATCTTGCCGGCGTCCTTTGTCGCCTATGCGCAGGGGGGAAAGCCTCCGCACGCACGACGCGCAGACTTCACAGCGCTGCACCACGCAAGCATGGGGACGAGCGGAGGGCGGAAGGGATGACGGGTCATGGCGCCGGCGCATACAACGGGCAAATCAAGGAGCGCAAAAGAGGAAGTGTTACAGAAAGCAGCGGGCGAGGAGTAAGCACTGGAGGAAGCGCACAACAACTGAGGAAGAGGGGCAGCGGCAGAGGACGGGAAGGTTCGATGACGGAGTCCCTGTGCGCGAGCTTACGCTGTGAACCGCACGGAGGAGAGCAGGCGAAGGAGGAAGAGGAGGAGCGCTTCCCCGCTGCCACCAACTTTCTTACTCGCCCTTCTCCCCGACTGCTCACAGCTTCCACCTACTTCGCCTTGAGTGCAGGGAATCGTGACTCTCGCCCATCTCCACAGCTCTCCCTGGAAGAGAGACTTCCACACCCCAACGAGATCGAAGGCTTGACAATCCTACCTCGTCCCCACTCGCTTCGCGCTCCCCTCGCTCCTCCTCGGGCTCCCTCCTCCTCCTCCTCCTCCTCCTCGATCCTTCGTCTCCTCGTGTTCAGTCTCCCTCCGCTCTCCCTCCTCTCCTCCGGAAACTCCCACCTCTATCGCTCCTCCGTGCCACAGCCGTGTCGACAGCTCCTCCCTGTCGTACAACCAGGACGTGCCGCCATGCGGTAGGGGCACGACCACAAGCAACCTTCCCACAAGAAGCCCAACCTTCAGACCCCAGGACGTCAATTGATCTGTGGTGTGGGGACGTCAAGCCCTCCATGGCAACGCCAGCGACACCCGAGAAACCCAGGGCACCCTGGAGGCGAGCGGGGTGCTTCTGGGCATGGGTCCCCACGGTATCGACAGCTCCTCCCTGTCGTACCTCCAGGGCGTGCCGCCAATGTGCTCACGCACCGCTGCTGCCGGGCGCACAGCTGCATGCTCGGCAACGAGGGGGCACGGACGGGGCCGCACTCCGCTCTCGAGTCTCCAAAGAAGAAGGAGGTAGAGGAGGAGGAGGAGGAGGAGGAGGAGGAGGGGGAGGAGGAGGAGAAGGAGGAGGAGGAGGAGGAGGAGGAGGAGGGGGAGGAGGAGGAGGAGGAGGAGGAGGAGGAGGAGGAGGAGGAGGACGAGGAGGAGGAGGCACGCTGGGCACGTCGCTTGAAACTCACGCACCGCCGCTGCTGCTGCTGCTGGAGCAGGACACGGCCAGCAGGCGGCACGGACGGAGGGCGGCGCCCCGGTTTCGAGGTTGCGCCCAGCGGCGTTGCGCCGCGCACGCTCCGCTCACAGAGGCACGACGCGAAGGTCCACTGGTGCAGCCGCTGCACGGATGCAGGTCGGCTGCGATGCACCGGCCAGAAAGACAGAACGCTACGGCGGGTTCGTGTCGTGACGACCCGAGCGTTGGTTTCTGACACCGCGTGGATCGTTCAACCTTGAACGATCGGCGGCTTTTCGATCGCCCGATCTTTCCATATAGGCCGATTCTGTGCCACTGGCAGCGTTCATTCTTGAACGCCCGCGGCGGGGTCGCCGCCGGTCGACACGACGCGAACCTACCGTAGACACATGGAACCTCACCAGTGGGTCTATTAGTGCACCGTGGAGGCGGCAGCTGTGTGGCGCAAGCTGTGTGGTATGAGCTATGCCTTGGAAGCCAGGTGGTGTGAGCTGTGGGGGCGCAAGCTATGCGCTGCAAGCCAGGTGTACAAGCTATATGGTGTGATCTGGAGCTGCAAGCTCTGCGATCTAAGCTGTGTGGTGTAAGCTATGCTGCGTAAGTATGCTATGCGGTGTAAGCAATGAGGCGTGAGCGGGTCGTGTACACACTGTGATGTCAGCAATCTCCTGTATGCTCAGCGCACGGGGCGCCCACGAGCGTCTACAAGGCGGCACGGACGGCAACAGGGCGCAACCTCGGCAAAAACTCCCCCAACGCATGGGGCGCCCAAGAGCGCTCACGAGGCGGCACTGGCGGCAACGTGGTGCAGCCGCGGCAGACACGCACGGACGGACACGCACGCACGCACGCACACGCACACGCACACGCACACGCACACGCACACGCACACGCACACGCACACGCACACGCACACGCACACGCACACGCGCACGCGCACGCGCACGCACGCACGCACGCACGCACGCACACGCACGCACGCACACGCACGCACGCACACGCACACGCACACGCACACGCACACGCACACGCACACGCACACGCACACGCACACGCACACGCACACGCGCACGCACGCACGCACGCACGCACGCACACGCACGCACGCACGCACGCACACACACAGACACACACACACACACACACACACACACACACACGCACGCACGCACGCACGCACGCACACACGCACGCACACAGACACGCACAGCGCACGGGGCGCCCAAGAAACGGCACGGGCGACAACGTGGCGAAGTTCCCGCGCGAGCCGCTGAGTGCAAGCACTGCTTGTCGAGAAGCTGCCATCGCCTGCATGGCAGGCCCTCGGGGCGCCCGACTCCCGAGGGGAGGCGCGGGGGCGCCACCCGCAGCGGACGGGCACACCTGCAGGGGCTCACGAGGAGACTTGGGACGGGAGGGTCGTGCGCTGCAGCATAGCTAACGTGTCGTGGGTTCACTCTGGTCCTCCTTCTACTCCTCCTCCTCCTCCTCCTCCTCCTCCTCCTCCTCCTCCTCCTCCTCCCCTTCCAGCTCTCCTCCTGCTTGAGAGGCTGGGTCCTGGCGCTGAGAGTCGTTGAAGTACGCGGGAACCGTGACCACGGCCTTGGTGACGGTGGCGCTCAGGTACTTTCCGGCGTCGGCGCTCAGCTTGCGGAGTACCTCGGGGTTGAGGGGGAAGGACTTAGCGAGTAAGGCGAGGGGGGTGGGGGAGAGACGGATGGGGGACGCAAGGTGCAGGGAGCAAGGAGGGATGGAGGGATGGAGGGAGGGAGGGAGGCGGGCGAGGGGAGGATGGCAGGGGCAGTGGGGAAGGGGAGATGGATGAGGAAGGGAAGGTAGAGGGGAGAGGATGGAGGATGGATGTAGGTAAGAAGGAAGAAGGACCGAGAGGGGAAAGTAGACACGCAGGAATGATGAAAGAGCAGAGTCAAGGAAGGGAAGGAGAAACGGGGGGTGATACGGGAAGGGGCGATGACGGAGAGGGGAGGGGGAACATGTGGATGCGAGGGGGAAGCAGGGAACAGGGCGGATGAGGGATGAAGGACGGGATAGGCCTCGCCCTCGCTGTCCTCCCGCCTCCTCTGCCTCCCCTCTTCCGCGCCCCCTTCCCAATACCTTCTTCGGTCTCTCCGCCCCATCATCATCCCCTCCTCAATGTGTCTCGCCTTTCCCAGCCTGGCCCTCCCCTCCTGCTCCTCCTCCTCCCGCAGTGAGAAGCCGCCTCGCCTGCGCGGAGATCTCCTCGGGAGCGAACTGCTTGCCCGCAATCGGGCAGTCGATCTTGAGCTTGGAGCCCACGGTCTCTACGGTGTAGGACACCTCCTTCAGCTCCTCGCGGGAAGCAGACGGGACTTCATTATGCTTCACACTGTTTGGTTTTCGTCTTACCCCGTGGCTTCGTAGAGTCCCCCTCCCATTCTTTGGGCGCATGTTGGGCGCTCGTGCTATCACCTGCGCCGAATCCACCGCTTCGGACACAAGAAAGAGCCATAACTTGCATACTCCAGATTTCGTAATAAAAGGAGGGGGTCTGGACCCTCCAAGACAAGCCAATTCAGACCTCCCCCGTGGGAGAACCCTCCAAAACATCGTCCCCAGACCCCCCAGGCCCTCCAAGATAGCCTGGAAGAGACCCCCCCCGAAATGAGACCCCCCTCCCTTTATTACGAAATCTGGAGTAGCAGGCAAGGCCCCCGAGGACGCAACGTAATGTGGGGCGGGCGAAGAGAAAAGAGGAAGGCCACTGCCCCTCGCGCCCCCCCCTTCCCTGGTCTCCTTGCTCGTTAGTTGTTCAAGCTCCCCCCCCCACTTCCAACGCCGACCACCTATCCCATCCCGACCCTCCCTCCACATTTCTCCCCTCATTGTATCTCCCAGTCTTCCCTCCCAGCCATTTCCTCCTCCCCCCCCCATCGTTTCCATCGGCCCCCCCGTTGTTTGGAGCAAGACCCGCATCGATCTTCATCATCGACCTCTGGCCTTGTCTTAGCAATGGATCGGGCCGGGCGAAAGGGGGGGGATAGCAAAGGGGGGGGGTGAGAATCAGCTCACGCAGCTGACTTCCCCGGCGCCTCCCGGCGCCCGAGGCGCTCATGCATCGAGGAATGGGCCCGGCGGCAGGGCCGAAACCAGCTGCATGCGGCAGATTCCGAACCCCCCCCTTTCCCTTATCCCCCCCTTTCGTCTGGCCCGAGATGATGGGCCTGCTCTCCACCACCACCACCATGAGTTGGATGGGGGAAGGATGAGGAGGGAGCGAGGAGGAGGAGGAGGAGGAGGAGGAGGAGGAGGAGGAGGAGGGGAGGAGGAGGAGCGAGGAGGAGGAGGAGGAGGAGGAGGAGGAGGAGGAGGAGAAGAAGGAGCGAGGAGGAGGGAGCGATGAGGAGGAGGAGGAGGAGGAGGAGGAGGAGGCGGGAGCGAGGAGGAGGAGGGAGCGAGGAGGAGGAGGAGGACCCCCTCCCCCTCCAACTCATGGTGGTGGTGGTGGAGGAGAAGCAAGCCCATGGCGAGAGCTGGATCCTCCTCGATCTCCGACGCGGTCCGGCCCACGAAGCGCTTGACCGAGTAGAACGTGTTCTCGGGATTGATCACGGCCTCCCGCGGGCGGGGGGCGCCGAGCCCTCCGCCGAGGGGCCCTGCGGCCTCCCCCCCGGGCCCTCCCCCTGGCGCTCGAGGCCGTGTCGTTCCGCCTTGCCCCTCCTGCTCCCACCGCTCGTCGTCACGCATGCTCTCGGTCCCGACCCAGCTCCGGCTGCGAAGCCATGTCCTCCCTCTCTCGCCCCCCATCAGCCCCCCCAGCCCCCTCCCATTCCCCATCCTCTCCTCCACCTCCCCCCCCCCCTCCCTCGTGATGATCCACGTCGTTCCCGTCCTCAGCCGCATCACAGCTCCCTCTCCTACTTCACCCATCCCTGCACCCCCTCCATTCTGCCCCATCAATCCTCCTTTCCCTCCCTCGCTCTACATTGTTCACTTCGCCATCCTCTCGCACTTCATCATCCGCTTGGTATTCGCCTACCTCGTCCTCTCCATCTCCCCCCTCCCCCCGAGCCCCGCTGCATCCTCGGTTATTCGATCCCTCATCCATTCTCAAACAGCTCGTCCGAGTCTTCCTCCTCGTCCTCCTCCTCCTCCTCCTCCTCCTCGTCCTCCTCCTCGTTCTCTCCCTCTTCCTCCTCCTCTCATAAGGGTCTTCGCGCTTCGCACTCAACGAAGCGCGACTATCTTCGCGCTTTCGCGCCGCCTCTCCCCCAGAACAGGATGAGTGACTCGCGCCTCGCTCTGAAATCGCCCAGACAGCGAAGCGCGACTATTTTCGCACCCTCTTGCCCCCAATGCTATGACCCCTGACCCTCAAACAGCTCGTCCGCGTAATCCCCCACCTCCTCCTCCTCCTCCTCCTCCTCCTCCTATGCCCTATACCTCTGCTTCAGCGGGGCAGGGAGGACGAAAAGGCTAGCAGCCTGGCGCTTCGCGATCTGCCCGACGAGCATCTCGCCGCTCTTGGAGTATGCCACCACCTGGGGACTGCCAGGTTTGAAGGGGCCTTGGGACACACAAACAACTACACACAAATAATAGGATTCCCCATAGTTTCCCATATGTTCTGGGTTTTTGTCTCCCCCCACTTCCCATAGTTTCCCATATGTTCAAGGGAACCGACGATTAATTGTGTCTGTGTGTGTTCTTCCCCCTCCTGAAGGTTGTGCTCTGGCTCCCACCGTCGTCGTTTCGACATCATCGTTGCCCTCCTCCTCCCCCTCCCTCTCCTCCGAGCTCCCTCCCGCCTCCTCCTACACGCAATACAACATGCATCAGTGAAACCCATGAGCATCCCCCCGTTCTCTCCGTCGTCTCCCTCCTCCGCCTCCTCCCTGCCAGCCTTCCTTCTCCCCCTCCTCCACCTCCTCTTCACCTACTCATAGCTGCCTCTGCCCTCTCCATCCGCCCTCACCATCTCCTCCCCCTCACCCTCCTTCTCAGCGGCTGCTGAAGCTGCTGCTGCGCTGCTGCTGTTGCTGCTGCTACTGCTGCTGCTGCTGCTCCCCCTCCATCATCCCATGCCTGCCCTCACTCTCACCTCATCCCCTCCGCGTCATCCCTCATCCCCCCTGTCCCCCATCAATGCGCCTCTGCGCGCCTCGGCGCCCAGTCCTGGCCGTTCGCACCGCGACACCTGCCCAGACTTCTGACGGATCCAGCCCATCCCCCGAGGGACAATGTTTAACAACCGGATCCATGTCTGACGGCTGTGGTGCCTGAATGCGCCGAAAACTATGAAACAACGACTGTGTTGAAACAAAGCATTCGCCCGCCTGGGGGTCGAAATCTGCCTCTTCACCACTCCGCAGTGTGCTGTCTGGAAATCCCGCCAGCCCTGTGGGCGTAGCAAGTCTAACAGTTCTGTATGTCCTCTTCCAAATCGTCTTCCCTTCGGGGAGGGGTCCCCTTTCCTCCCCTCTCTCAAATCAGTTTGGCGCATTCGCGATCGGTCAGGCCCCCAAAAATTGGCGCAAGATGGCTCAAAAAGGGCCATCGATGCTCCAAGATGGATCCAAAGCGGCTCAAGATAGCCGAAGATGGTTCAATGTAACTTCCGACATACCTCCAGGAGGCCCGACGAGGGCCACATAACGGTTCCAAGTGCTCTCGGAGACACCCCCCCTGGACCCCCCCAAGAGGCAAACATCCTTCAAAAGCTAATCGAACATCTGTAAGTGTTGCACTCTCGCCATTTTTGGCTTGCGATACGCTTTTGAAGCCTCAAAATGGGCCCAAGACGAAGAGAGGCCCAATAGAGGCTCCCAGACGGCCCCAGTACCCAAGAGCGCCCGAAGAGAGCCTAAATAAGCGACTTTGAGGGCCACAGAAGGAGTGATGCAAATCGAGGACCCCCCCCCTTTTGATCGATGGCCTCCAAGATGACCCCAGGAGGCCCTCCAGGGCTCCCAAGAGGGCCCCCAAATCCCCAAAAGAGCCCCAAGAAAACCCCAACACCGCCCAAAAGAACCCCAGGAGGGCTCTGAGAAAGCCCTCAGAGGATTTCACGCGGGCCTCAAGAATACCCCCAGATGGCTGCCTGAGTCCTCGTCCTCGTCCTCCTCGGCCTCGTGCTCCTCGGCCTCGTGCTCCTCGTCCTCGTGCTCCTCGTCATCCTGTTCGTCCCCGTCTTTTTCCTCGTCCTCCTCCTTGTCCTCGTCTTCGTATTTCTCCTCCTCGTCATTGCCCTCGTCGTCTTCATCGTCTTTGTCCTCCTCTTCCTCTTCCGTCTCCTCCTCCGTCTCCTCCTCCGTCTCCTCCTCCTCCTCCTCCTCCTCCTCCTCCTCCTCCTCCTCCGCCTCCCCCCCCTCCTCCTCCTCCTCCTCCTCCTCCTCCTCCTCCTCCTCCTCCTCCTCCTCCTCCTCCTCCTCCTCCTCGTCCTCGCGTCGTCGTCCGAGTCCTCCTTCGTCGTCCGTGTCCTCCTCCTACTCCTCCTCCTCCTCTTCTTCCGGCTCCTCCTCCGCCTCCTCCTCCTCCTCCTCCTCCGCATCCTCAATTCACCATGGCTGCCCGTTTCTCTTCACGGTGTGACTCTTCCCGTTTCCCGGCAGCTCTCCCGGGAAGCGTCGCTGAATGGGCTGTTCGGGATCTGCGAGGCGCGAAGCACAGCGTTGATGCAGATCCAGCCCAGGCGACGAGAGAAGCCGCCAGAGGGCTCCAAGAGGAGCGCCCAAACGCCCCCCCCCCAAAAACAAACCCTCCCTGACGCAACCGCCTCGAAGCTCGCTGCCCCCTCATTCGAGGGGGCCCTGGGACACACAAGCAGATAGACACAAATAACAGGAACCCCCATATCTTCCCATATTCTCGCGGTTTCCGCCCCCCCTTCCCCCCCACTTCCCATATTTTCCCATATTTTCTGGGGAGTCAACGATTAACTGTGACTGTGTGTTTTCTTCCCTCCTGAGGGTTATCCAATCAGCGCGCGTTGGCCGATGTTCCAGGCACTGGAGGCGCCGACGCATCGAGGAAGGCGCCCGGCGGCGGGGGCCGCACCCGGCTGTATGCAGAGGATTGCGCAAACCTGCCAGTTCTGGACAGGACAGGCCCTCCTCCTCCTCCTCCTCCTCCTCCTCCTCCTCCTTCCTCTTCCTCCTCTTCCTCCACCTCGTCTTCTTCTTCGTCGTCTTATGATTCTTATTATCAGTATTACTCGTCTTCTTCTTATTCGTCTTCGTGATATTATTACTACTACTACTACTACTATTATTATTATTATTATTAGTATTAGTATTATCATTATTATCATTATTATTCGTCTCTCGGGTCGGTCGAAAGGGGGGGATAGCAAAGGGGGGGGGTGAGAATCAGCTCACGTAGCTGATTTTCCGGGCGCCTCCGGGCGCCAGAGGCGGCTACGTATCGAGGAATGAGCCCCTCGGTGAGCCGAAATCAGCTGCATGCAGCAAATGTCGTACCCCCCCCCTTTCCCAATCCCCCCCTTTCGTCCGTCCCGAGTCTCATGTTTCTGTTTCGGTTATTATTATTTTTCTTATTATTATGATTATGCTTATGCTTCTGCTTCTGCTTCTGTTTGTTATTATGATTATTATTCCTCCTCCTCCTCTTCCTCCCACTTGTTTTCCTCCTCCTACTCATCATCATCCTCCTCTTCCTCCTCCTCCTCCTCCTCCTCCTCCTCTAACTCCTCCTCCTCGTCCTCGTCGTCGTCCTCCTCCTCCTCATCCTCCTCCTCTTCCTCCTCCTCCTCCTCCTCCCCCTCCTCCTCCTCGTCGTCGTCCTCCTCCTCCTCCTCCTCGGGCGATTGGGGGTCGAGGCGTCCTCCCCTGAACCTACCCTCCATCTCCCCCCTCCCGAGGAGGGTCCCCACCGTACGTACGCCTGGACCGATCCTGGCCGGGGGCCCATCCTGGGCCAGGATCGGCGTCTGCGCCCTCCCGCCTTGGCCAGGGAGGCGCATCGGGATCGGAAGATTTGCCTGGCCAGGTTCGGTGCAGGTGCTCACCTGGCCACCTGGAGGAGGAGGAGGAGGAGGAGGAGGAGGAGGAGGAGGAGGAGGAGACGGAGGAGGAGGGAGGAAGGAGGAGGGAGGAGGGAGGAGGGAGGAGGAGGAGCCCCCTCCCGTTTCGGCGGAGCTGGCCCACGCTCGGGGTGGTCCGGGCGCCCTCCGCGTTCGGGATGATAGTGGGGGTGCCGGCCTCCATGGCCGCCACGGCCGAGTTCGTGGTGCCGAGGTCGATGCCCACCACCTCGGGGCACGGGCCACGGGCGGGAGGGGAGCGATTGGAGGCGAGCGAAGGGGGGGCGAGGCGCCTGGCGCCTCGACGACATCGAAGCGGTCGGTTTGTATCCTGCTCCTCCTCCTCCTCCTCCTCCTCCTCATTATTACTTCGGTCATGCCCTCTCCTTTTGCTCCCTTGCAGTGTCCCCCTTCTCCTCCTTCCCTCCTCCCCCTCTCTCTCTCACTCCTTTCCCTCCCACGCCCCTCACATGTCCTGCTCCCTTCATTCCCCGCATCTCTCCCTTCTCCTCCACTGCCTTCCCTCCTCCCCATCCACAGTCTACTCCGTCTACTCCCACTCCGCCTACCACTTCCCCGCCCCTCCTCCCTCTCTCCCTCTCTACCTCCTCGCCCCCTCTGCACTCATTCCTCCATCTCCCTCCTCTCACTCATACCTCAGCGTCCTCCCCCACCCTCCCGGGAACGCTCTGAACGACGAGGCGCAGCCTGCGGAGAGCACCACAGCCTGGGGTCCGAGGATCTGGAGGAATCCAGGTGCACCCAGCTTTTCGCTCCAGAGTGAAGCGCCTGGGCCCCCTGGGCCCCCTTGCGAGACAGTCAAGTGCGAAGAGCATGCCGCGGGGATGAACTACTGAGTGCAGATGCGAGGCCGCGTACTGAGGAGCATGCTACAAACTGCGCAGAGTGTAGGGCCATGCGACTATGAGCCGGCAACGCAGACTGCGGGTGCTGGAAGCTTGCATGTGTTCTAAATTACTGTAAGGGCTCGAATCCTGCATGTCACTGAAGGCGGACCGGGATCGAGTTGACAGAGTCCGAGCGAAATGCTTGCGATAGATATTCGACATAGCGCCAGCATTCGTGTCTCGCGTCAGCAACGCTGATGTGCTGGCGGCAGCCGAAGCCTGCCCTTTATCAACTTGTTTATTACATGGCCCATTACACTTATACGGCAAGCTGTAAGGGGGACTGCCCGGCAGTCTGCCCAGGACAAAAGGGGCAATGGATCGCAGCTGTTGTAGACTATTGCTTCGCATCGTGTTTCCGCTCGTGTTCCCGCCCATTATCCTTCTTCTCCTCCTCCTCCCCCTCCTCCTATTCCTCCTCCTCCTCCTCCTCCTCCTCCTCCTCCTCCTCCTCCTCCTCCTCCTCCTCTCTCCTGTGCACTGTAGCATACCCTTGCGAGTCGCTGGAGCAAAGCATTTCAGCGTACGTTTCCGGGGCACCGCAGGGGCACGCTGTTCCCATTCTTGCCGATGCGCTGTCCAGGCGCAGTTCTCTCTCTCTCTCTCTGTGTATGCGTGCGTGCGGGCGGGTGCGGGTGCGGGTGCGGGTGCGGGTGCGGGTGCGGGTGCGGGTGTGGGTGTGGGTGTGGGTGTGGGTGTGCGTGTGGGTGCGGGTGCGGGTGTGGGTGTGGGTGTGGTTGTGGGTGTGGGTGAGGGTGTGGGTGTGGGTCAAGTTAGCCAGCTCGAACGAGCGAGAGGGCTCCGTCCACTCCCACCCGCCCCCCCACAACATAAGAAGCAAGCGCGTCGCGTCCGACGCCCACGTTTATCTTAAATCGCGGGCGGCTAGACGTTCAGCGCGCGACATGAGCTGCGTCCTACTCCTGCCGCGCATTGAGCAACGCCGACGAGAAACAAGACCGCGCGCGATATACGCCGCGCCCCGCTGCATTGTTTTTTAAAGTCAAGATAGGGCCCGCAGCCCGCATGGACGTCCGCGCGCGATGTGCGCCGCGTCCCATTCCTGCCACATATTTCGCACCGTCGGCGACAAGGCAGGCCATGC